GTGGGAAGGCGTGACCAGTAGGGTACAACAGGTTGAAAGTATCTCATCGAGGAAGATATTGCGAAGTGGTCGCGCAGTGTTGTGAGTGAACTGGTAGAAATTAGAATTCATGGACCATAGGATTGGATCCTAGTAGCTTAATGGTTTACGGGCTAGCTCGCCTCGTAACAAGAAGGTTGTGGGTTCAAACCTCCTGTGGTGGGTGCGTACTGATGGAGAGTCCCAGTGTTTCTTTAACTGATGTCAGCTGACAATGAAATCCTTCAACTAATCAAACAAAATCCCTACAAAAAACCACTACGTTAAAAATGAAGATTTCCAAAGTTTTGTCATTAGGATTGTTTATTCCGGATAATAAATTTCGTTAACTGTTTTGAAACTAAAGTAAGATTAAATAAGCAAGTCGAGTGACATAATCTAATTGATGACAGAGTTGAGTAAAGCTCAGCTAAAATTGTAATTGAACAAAAGCAATGGCAATTCACATATTAAAACCTGAACTCTGCATACAAAAAAGTTTGTTTGGTCATTGAATCTCTAATGGAAGTGACCTATCTTAACACCGGATACATAATTTCGTATCGTCTTTTTCTTGCTTGTTTGTTTCTTAATTGTATAATATATTTTTTATTCCCCCAACCCTTATTAAATCGATACGCCTTATTACTACCACTTTTGTTAACTTGACTTTTGTTCAATTTTAATTTTATCTGAGCTCTACTCAACTCCGTTGTGAATTAGATTACGTCCCTCAACTTTTTTATTTAACCTTACTGCAGTTTCTGACTAGTTAACTAAATTTGTTATCTAAAACTTACAATTCTAATAATTGTATTTTAGAAGTTAATTGGTGGGTGGTGTCTAGCAGTGGAATCCACCAGGATGTGCATTTCGTCCTATTTTGGACTCGTTGACTGGATGTACTTGCATTTCACAGTGAGTGATGATGCTCTCACAGAGGCTAGACCTAGTGCTCAGTATTAAATGCCAGATGACTGGTCCCAAATAGGACGAAATCCGCATCCTAGTGGATACCACTGCTAGTCACCATCCACCAATTAACATCTGATTACATGTTCAGACAGCATCCAAGCCTGTGCACAAGAAGCCGACAGGTCAACCTGAGACCGAGGGAGCACTTCGGTTCAATCAGTTGACAGGAAAATCTAAAATTGAATTGAATTTTATTTTAGTTTCTATCCGATTAACGCTTTCTACATTACGTAATTTGTTAACTAAAATTTATAATTCTAATGACAAATATTTCGAATGTTCATTGTGTCGCTAAGAGAATTAACTGCGTATACATGCGATCGTACAGCTTGTGAATGATATTGGTTAAAACGGTAACTCTTCGCTGAAGGTTTTTGCTTTTATATGATTTCAAATCTTTAAATATTCCCATTTATAATATTAGAACAAGACGTATAAGCGAGCAATACTCTTGTTTTCAATTAGATCTTCTTCAGGCTTTACTCTAATTTACATAGACTTATATATGAAAAAAAATTTAACCAATGACGGTGATTTTGTGGATCAAATAATAATAATAATGTGGTTAATTTTCTATAGTTTGGTTTGTAAGGGTTAGTTATGTTTTTTTGTTACTAGTTGATCACGGATTGATATCAGTTAGAGAACCATTGAAAACAAGTAGGGAGTACTGGACAGCTGCTGTTTCATCCTAGTTTGGGAATCATCGGCAGTACGCACCCACTGGGATTCGAACCCAGGACCTTCCGGTTACAAGGCAAGCTCGTATACCATTCACCCACTGGGACCCGATTCAATGGCTTCAACAGCAGTTGTCCAGTACTCCCTGGTTTTCAGTGGTTCTCTAACTGATATCAATACGTGGTCAACTCGTAAAAAATGTGGTAAATGTTTTGAACGAAGTTAATAGCGATGATTATAATGATAACAAAATATTGTTAATAAGGTTTATGCAGGTGGCGATAAGAATAACAAAGATAGTGTGTGTATATATGTAGACAATTCAATAAATAAAAACAACTGTCCATGAAACTGCAATTTAATGGGGACGTGGCTAGTGAAGTCTTACATCAGAGATTATCGAGAGCGATAAAACGGACTTATACTGCCTCCACACTCTTTGTTTGTCATTTTCCAGCCTACCAATTTTCATTGCTCAAGTGAAAAATAAGCTACCTAGCTGTGCCACTTCTATGTGTATCTATAAATTTAGTTGCTCCTGTGGAGAAAGCTATATAGGCCGAACAACTAGACAGCTTAACAAACGCAATAATGAGCATCTTCCTTCATGGTTCGGAAAAGGTCAGATAAAATCCATACGAAGTTCTATTGTGGCTCATTTGATTGATTAGCGGTCACCAAGTGGACAAAAATAGTGCCTTCAAAGTTATTTACCGTATTCCATCGTGTCTTTCGAACGGAATCAGAACCCGTCTTTTACACTTAGCCGAAGCTATGGGAATTCGAGAGAACGATCCTAATCTTTGTATACAAAAGGAATTTGTTCTACCTTTGTCTCTCCCTTGCTTAGCCTAGGTGAATTCTATTCAAAACCCTCCTACCCTTTCTTATCATCCCTCTCCTTCGTACTTTTATGATATTTATTTAAACTCTGATAATCGTTCCATTTGATTTGACCCAATTTATTTATTTATTGAATTGTCTACATATTTGCATATGCTTATATGTCTTGTCCTAATATATGCATATACTAACTTTGTTATTCTTATCACCTGTATAAGCCTTATTATCAAACTACAGAAAATATTTTGTTATTATTATAGTCATCGTTATTAACTTCGTTCAAGACATTTACCACATTATTATTTTTTTATCCACAAAATCACCGTCATTGGTTAAAATTTTTATATATAAATCTATGTAAATTAGAGCAAAGCCTGAAGAAGATCTAATTGAAAACAATATTGTTCGCCTATATGTCTTGTTCTAATTTTATATGATTCTTTGGGATTATATATATATATATATATATATATATATATCAAAGTCAACATCTCATGGATGTTGACATGATGAGCAAACAGACGGAATATTGACTAGTGAGGCATCTTAATTAATAGTGCTGCTTAGTTATAAGGAAATTATGATTAACAAATCAGTTGGATGCTATTACTGGAGTTCCTTTCTATGAGTTGGGCGATTTCACTGTAAAGGATTGAACATCTTCAGAGGTAAGTTTAAAATGAAGTGTGTTCTTAGCGTCCTACATAAGTGTATTAACCGTATCTTCTGATGAACTTCAGCCTACTGACTTGTAAAGCTCAGAAATTTTTTTATCTACTTCCCCCCTTCTATTGGAATTAATTACTTTGTTGACATTGCTGAAAATGATTAGAACTGTAAGTTTTAGATGATGAATTCAGTCAACTGGTTAGAAACTGCAGTAAGGTTAAATAAGAAAGTTGAGGGACGTAATCTAATTCACAACGGAGTTGAGTAGAGCTCAGATAAAAGTCAAGTTAACAACAGTAATAATAAGGCGTATCGATTTAATAAGGGTTGGGGGAATAAAAAATATATTATACAATTAAGAAACAATCAAGCAAAAAAAGACGAGACAAAAGATACGTATTTGATGTTAGGATAGGTCGGGTCCATTAAAGATTTAATGATTGAACAACCTTCTTTTGTATACAGAGTTCAAGTTTTTATGTGTGAGTTGTCATAGCTTCTGTCCCTTGAAGAAGTTTGATTCTGACTCTTTTTAGCAAGCAAGATTCCCACGTATTCTGTTGATGACTTTAAAGTTACTTTGTGGGTTTCCTAGATGCTCAGATTCGATCAGAAGTTCCAGAAAGAACCATTCTTCTCCTTTTTGAAACCATAAGAGTAAGTGTTCAATGATGCGTGTGGATAGCAGACATTGGGTACAGCCGATATACCTAGATCCACATGAACAGGGGAATTGACAGATGCACATTGATGAGGCTGACCAACAGCAGTAGCTTATCGTTCACGTTCATGCGAATCATTGGTTTCGTAGAGAAGGTTAGTTTCTATCCGATTAACGCTTTCTTCATCACGTAATTTGTTAACTAAAATTTATAGTTCTAGTGACAAATCTTTGGAATATTCATTTAGTTGCTAACAGTATTAACTGTGCATATATATATATATATATATATATTATATATATATATATATATATATATATATATATGCGACTGTACAGCTTGTGAAGGATATTGGTGAAAAGAGTAACTCCTGGCATGACCCCTTTTTTTCTCTTATATCACTCATTGGGAATTTTTAATTTGAATTTTCACATCGATAGTTCAGTCGTCTACCACACCATGGGTGGTTCACGTTGGATTCCCAGTCAGCGACGCACTTACAAGCCTCCCCTAGCCGATAGTAAATCTGATAAACAGAAAAGGTTAGGCGAGTGGAGATAGGAATCTCACTCCTCAGAGACACAACACCACAGCTACAGAAACTTCAGGACTGATCGCTGAAGCCATATATTACCCTGGGAACACAAAGGAACCTAGAAAAAAGCTGAACTTCATTCGAACACACACATATATATATATATACTTGAGAATGTAGAAAATACAGCTTATATAAAAGTGTTATAAGTCAATTCAAAGCACAAAAAGAGAACAGAAGGATACAGAAAGAGTAGGAAGATGAAGGGTATATATATTTTTTATTTCAGCTATGTAATTTTGGCCATTTTTAACATGTTGACGACTGTATTTGTCAGAGAAGATAAAATTGGTGATATTCTTAATTTCGATTTGTTAAGAAGACCATGGATGCGCAGTTAATAACACAATCACCAAATGAAGTGTGAGAAAATTTGGAAATAGAATAAAATATATGATCTAACCAGACAAATCAATCCAATGCTTGAGGGTAGTAGTTTCTAATCGCTTATCGATCGTTAACATGTGAAGAGAAACAGAAAGGACAAAGAAGGCTTTCATTCTGTAAATGCTATCGTCATTATTGTGTTTTCTTTTTGTTTTTGTTTAAATTTTTGTCTAGTCAACAAATACACGTATAGAATCTTCAAATAACGCAATGACCAGCATGATACCAACCCCAGTTGTCAATCCAGCTACTTGTATAGCTAGTTGTCCAATACGTGTTTGACCTGGTCTTAGTTCCACTGTATTGAGTTCTGGTAGCTAAGGTTGATGAATTTATTAAAAATAAAATGAGACAAAAAAAACAAGAAAATTATGATTACAAGTCACTTAATACTATCGTTTGGTTGATTGATTGATTGATAGCTAATCAGTAATTAGATACTATTCAAACTAACCGCTCGTTTCACATTTTAGTTCTACTCAAGTACTTGCCTGGTGCGTTGTATCCCTGAATGGTCTCCTCAATGTGTGCCCGATGGATCTCCATTTAGTAGGCTATGACGTCTCGGCTGATTCGTTTCCAGAACGCATAGTTGTTAATCTTTTCTTGGCATTTTATCTTCAGGATAGAGAGAGAATGCAGATGTCTATAAAACTCTGAACTACTCTGTTGGAACGGATTTCAGTGACGCGTACTCCAAGTTTCTCAACGATATAGGAGAACAAATTTGATATTCGTGTTGCACTCATGCTGAGTGCAGCACATTTCCAAATTTTGATTGGACACTAGTAACTGGTGTGATGTGTCTAGTCCTTTCTTTGGTGCAAACTGAATTCTAACAGTCAGGTTTGTAATGTGACCAAGATTCTAGGTAGCCCGCCATCACGGTGCACATTTATTTGATGATGTTAGATAGTTGGAGGCGATCGACCACAGGAAGCCCTACCCCACCTAGGTTTCGTGCTACCTAGCACTCATCAGCAAGGCGTATCTGCACCCTTGAAGGAGCTCATATCCCTTCTGAGATTCGAATCCTAATCTAATATCACCAAATCAGTGTGCACCGTGATGGCAAGCTACCTAGGATGTTAGCCACACTGCAAACCTGACTGATCAAATCCAGTCTGCACCAAAGAAAGGAATAGACATATCACACCAGTTACTGGTGTTCAATCAAAATATCCACTAACGTCCTACAGGAGGTCAATTGCGAGCCCGAATAGCTGGCTCAGTGGTAACGTCTCTGACTGCAGGCAACACTGGGTGATGCGGGTTCGAATCTCAGAAGGGACGTGAGTTCCTTCAAGGTTGCAGATGCGCCCTGCTGATGAGTGCCAACTAGCACAAAACCTACGTCCAGGGCTTCCTGTGGCCGATCGCCTCCAACCATCTAACATTTCCTAATTATTGCAGGTGTGTCTTATCTTTCCGATTCTGTTTTCGCCATTCTTATCCGTGCTGTTGCCTGTAGTTGAAATGATGTTGCCAAAATAAGTGAAAGTGATAACCCTTTTTAGAATTTCTCCCGATGATAGTGATTGACACTTTTTGTTATTTGGATTTGGGCATCTTTACCACCTCTATTTTACTTATATCTACTTGAGGTTCTGTCTTCACGGTTTCGTGTCTGAAGTTGCTGGTTTTCGCCTGTATATTTTCGAATTTGTGTGTGACATAAGACATAAATCTTCCACGAAATCTAAATCTTTTTTAGTCTGCTCATTGGGTCGATATACTCCTATCATCTCACTCTCTATAATCTGCCGGATCATCCAGAGCCCCTTGATGAAGAATATCATAAGTGATAGTAGATAAGACGACTATAACAGCCTATCTCTGCGATCAGTATAGTGACCTTGGACGACCAATCAAAATCGTCCAGTGGATAACAACCATTTATTATTTAGAAAAGTATGTTTAAGGTAAATAGATATTGTAAAAACGTTTAAAAGTGGATAATAGTCTCTCTATCTCACTATCTCCCAAGCAGTTTCTTGTAGCAGTGATTAATCACATCTGAAATCATTTTCTATACATAAATCTGTTCAAATGACTATTTGTGATATTTTCTGTAGTTTGGTTTGTAAGGGTTAGTTTTGTTTTTCTTTTTACGAGTTGATCACGGATTGATATCAGTTAGAGAACCATTGAAAACGAGCAGGGAGTACTGGACAGCTGCTGTTTCATCCTAGTTTGGGAATCTCCGTGATCAACTCGGAAAAAGACAACTAATCCTTACCAACCAAACTATAGAATATTAGTCTGATGCTCGCTAGTCACTTGCTACAGGATAGAGTTTCCTGGAGTTCTAGTGAGAAGTCGTGCTTTATACATGAATTTGAGAGAAGGAGTGTCAGAAAGATCATTTCCAGCAGTCTCTTACAGACTTTCATCACCAGCTGCATTAGCTGTCTCGATACTAGAGATCAGATGACCAGACAGAAAGGATCTCTGGCAACGAACCCTACCAAAATCCTGTTATCTGATAAATAGGCAGAAGGAGATGTAGGTCAGTTGAACAGTCGCTGGGGTGATTCCCTGGTGAATTCAAACGTAACACTCTACCTCTGGTAGGAATCTAATGGAAAGCTAAGAGTCGGAGGCTAGTTCAAGGGTAACTTGAAGGAGGTCAGATTAAGAGGAGAAGAAAGTTTATGGGCAGTCGTGCAGCTAACTATAAAAGACTTGAAGAGAGCAGATTGAAATTTAGAAATGTTGTTGAAACCCTAGAAAATGATGACAATATTTTAAAGCTTTATTAACATTGTTTGAGTAAACTTCGATTCAAATGATACTCAAAATAAAAGCATTATAAACATAAACAACTAGAGGGTTCAATAATACTTTGTTAGAATTAAATGGAATAGTTAACTCTACTTGGAGGATTTGGACTTCGCTGATTACATATATTTGTCTGATTTCTCACAAACTGGAAGATATGCAAATGAAAAGCAACAAGTTTGCAGAAGAAGCATCCAGAGAAGATAGGACTTCAGGGGAACATGGAGAAAACAGAGGTAGGTGATGAAGATTCCTGGCCAACAGCGACAGACAACAATCAACATAAATGGGAGAAATCTGAAAGAAACAACCCCCTTTACATTCCGACCTGAGAAGCATCGTTTCAACTACAGACGGACGGAACTGATGAGGATATTAAAGCAAGGATCGGGAAAGTAAGGTAAGCGTTCATTTCTCTCAAGTCTGTATGGAGATCAACAGCACTCAGCATGAGAAATAAGATCCGGATTTCCAGCTCCAATTTGAAGTCAGTGCAACTATACGAATGAGAGAATTGACGATGTGTCATAAAGGGCACTTTGAATAAACTACAGATTTTCATCAACATCTCAGTTCCCTCAATACTCAAGATCAAATGGCCGGAAAAGATCAGCAGCAGGGATATCTGGTGATGACCGAACCAACCCAGAGGAAATCAATTGTGCAACAAATATGCAAGGAGAAATAGAGGTGGATTGGATTGACCGTACTCTGAGAAAACGAACCATTAAGTGGCATCTATCATACGTGAGGCTATCGCTCGACTGGCACCCAACTGAACGGAAAGCAGCGAGTCAGTTGGCCGTCAGTGCTAAAGTGACATGGAGGAGGTTATGTGAAGAGGAGATGAGAACATGTGAGCAGACATGAAAACTAGTGAAAACGTTGGCGGTGAACCAAACTCAATAGGGATGTGCAGCTGAAGCCCTATTCTCTTCTAGGAGCTATAGGAAACAATAATAATAATAATAGTAGTGTAATCATTTCTATAACTCACCATATCAACAAGTGCAATATATATAAATGTTCCAGCAGTAATAGCAAATATCCAATAACTTGCTGATTCAATATTACCCACAGCAATACCAACTAACATACCAAATAAACAAAGTATTGATGAGACAATATTGAAAAACATTGCCTCTTTAATTCTCATACCAGTTTTCAGGAGAACAGCAAAATCACCTAAATAATAATAATAATGTTTTATTTTAAGTATTATAGAGTAGAAGAAACACATGAGAATAAAAATGGAAATTTTATACTCTATAAATATCACTTAGAGGAGTTACATTACATCTGAGACATCCAAAGGATTCCTCAGTTTCAGAAGGGTGAGATTAAGGCATCTAAATTCTACTACAATCTAGGGCTTCAATTCACCTTCGGCCATTATGCATCATATCAGTAAAATTCTGTCAACATGAGGCTTTCTTCCTCATGTTGACATTCATTGAGGACTGTCATCAGAGAACTTAGATAGGCAACTAATATGATATAGTGACGGGTTTCCAATTTGAAGATAAACCAATCAATTGTGTTATAGATAGGTAGACACATAACTAATAGGATCACCTATTCTCGTACTTGCGTCACTGACTCATGTATGCATATATTTTTTTGTATTTTCTTTATTTCCTTACTGGAATTTTACTTTTCCGTCGCAAATCGTTGCGTGTTAACGATGAAGTAGCAGATTTTGAAATCCGAGAAGCAGTTGTATACATTGTTAGCGTAGACAAGCGTCATTCGTGATGGCCGCATCTGTCACAAGCCTGGCTTTTCTTTTCAGCTGAACTTCTGCAAAATGAAAAGTTGTCAACGAGTGAATGATGATGCGAATCGACCTAACATGGTTGGAGAAATTACTGGACCTACATCTTTAGAGGATGGAGTTGATGGTTGGTTTGCACATATTATCCCCAAGTGATTCATCTCCAGACAACAACAATGTTAGTAGCCCTATATCAGAATTTCTGTGCAACCCAGACGCCATGGTTTCGTAGATATGAAACTTCTGTTCAGTGAAGGTTTCACGAACAGAGACCATTACCTCAGAAACTAGGGATAGGCGGATTAGATAAAAGTTGCAATCGAATCCGGTGATGTGACGTTCAATGAGACTGTGCACACACTTCATCATCAATTTGGTGACCATCGGTCGCTGTTTAATATACGTTATCATTGTATCAAACTGGTGCCGAACAAAAATCATAAAATTTTCGATGTAGTTGTGTTCTCTGAGCTGGATAGTTAATTTGCGAAGCTTTCATCGCCTTACTAGACAACATTTTCAGCGGATATTTCAATTTGTTGAAGTCAGGTTTAAGATTTCTTCACGAGTTTATCAGTCATCTCTCCTGGTGGGTGACCTTAAACGTGACTGGTTACTTTTGTTGGCCTTGGTGTCGATTGTTTCCTTGACCTGAACTTTGACCCTTTGTGTGTGAGATTTCCTTCTTATCGGTTGATAAATTTTTTGTCTATCTCAGTGTGTCTATTGATTGACGATTCATTGGAATACTAAGCTTCTGAAAATTCCCTAGCATTCTTGGTGTTTCCTCTGTCTGTCTAATATTTGAACGTTGGTTGCCCCAGTCGAATTGATGTCCGTGGTTGTCTGTATGTAGTGAGTGATATGAGTGAGGGAGTGGATGTCATGTCTGTTGACGGTTAGCTTATGATCATGCGTATGAAGACGAAGGGGACGTCCACTTTGACCAATGTAGTGTTTTTCGTAGTCGTTGCAAATTATTTTGTAGATGATATTGGTTTTATCTTCTTTCACTGATGGTTCTTTTGGTTGACAAAGGGCTGGCTGAATGAAGTGATTTTGTTTGTTTGTGTGCGACGTGATTTCTGAGATGTTCTTTATACTTGATAGGGTGATTTTCACACACACAGCTGGATGTAGTTAACAGTATCGGTGATTGATTCAAGCTAAAATCTCTAACAGAAGACCAATTTAAAGTTATAAGATTCATCTGTGGCTTACAGTCTCAAAAGTTGTCTGGACATATGAACGCGTCTGTTGAACAGGATAGAAAAGGACGCACAAATAACATTCAAAGACACTGGGGAAGAATAACATCGATTAACAAATTTTCACAGAGACAGCAACCTGATTCAGTCTAGTATCTCAATACTGGGCTGATAATTTGGAGACCGCTAGTTTAAATTCTACTATATATTAGATCTACATTTCGGTTCGAATTATAAGTCACTGCACTAATAACAGCTAACGGAATGCTAACTTCGATACTCTAACTATCATTTATTTATGGAGTCCGCTATTATTCGAGGAGTGAATCCAAAACATTTCATACATGATCTGTGTGTGAGATGAACAGTCGTCCACATTATGACATTAATTTTACTTTTTCAATATACTGAAACGATTCATCACGGAAAACTCAGCTAAGCCTTTGAAGTGTAGACAAGGGTAAGATAAGGCCACTAACTAACTGGTGGACTGGACCATACTAAAGACTTTGGAGATTGAGAAGACAGATACACACTGGGTCGACTGGAAGATCCTAGAAGATCTAGAATTCTCAGATGATATATGCCTAACATCACACAATCTCGAAGGCTTACGGGTAAAAGCCAACAAGTTGGCAGAAGACGTAGTAAAGACAGGGCTTCAAATAAACATAAAGAAGTTAGTAGCAATGAAGCTATCTAACACCAGCAACAAGCGCCAATCACCACCAACGAGGAAAATTTGATGGAAGCCATATATCTAGGTAGTATTGCCTTGGCTACAACCCTCACGGATGATGACATCACCGAAGACATTTCCAACAGGCAGAAGACTTTCATCAACAGCTGCTGGTGACCTGTACTGAGGATCTTATAGCCAGAAGGTAGCAGCAGCAGGGAACTCTGCAACGAATTAACCAAAAACCTAGTACCCTAATATATTCTGAAAGAAATGAAATTTTGCACACTCTTTGGTAGCCTCTGAGTGACATCAGGCGTCTGCACCGCGAGTGGAACCTGAATGGAAAACAACAAGAAGGTCTTCTGAGAGTGGCCTTGGAGAGATTGTGTGAGGAAGAGATGAAGGCTTTTGTGCAGCCGTGAAGACAGCTTAGAAAGACTTCAAAGAATAGAATGAAATGGAAACATTCTTTTAAAACCGTATGTTCCACTGGGAACCTAAAGGAATACTGGTAATAATAAACAGTAATATAACGATTTGAAGTGAACCGAATATTTGGAAGACACCAAAAACTATGACACTCTGAACTGAAAATCATTCGGAACCTTCAATGGAAATTCTAAGCATTGAAAGGTAACATTAAAGCCTGCATAAATTTTGTTTGCACAGCTACTGAGAATATAATCTCTGAAAACATATCTTCGTTGAATTTCTTTTTTTCTCTCTCAAAATATCTCAATGAGTAGTTTTCATGAGGCGAGAGCTTTAAACGGTCCGTTTATCACGCAACCATTGATCCGTACAACTGTCCTTTTATCATTACGATTATTCCCTACGGATTTATCATTAAATCTACATTTGTCTCTCTCCGTTCTCTGTAGTATACTTTATCACGTTTTACGATTTTCTGTAAGCTTTCATCTGCAATTAATATTGTCCTCTGAGCTGGTTGGTTTAGTTGCGGAGCTTTCGTCGTCCCTTGCTGGACAACATACCCCTTCAGCGCAATATTTAGCACAAAGTCAAATGATTTAAAATTTTCATGAGTGATATAATTGCGTCTCCCGGTAACCATCTTTACATATATATTGACCATTTTCTACTGACTTGGATTTTAAACTTTCTGGTCACATGATTTACTTCTCATTAGTTGGTATGTTTGGTCTATACATTAACGTGTTTGTTAATTGCATGTTCGTTTGAGTACCAGGCTTCTAGGAATTCCCTGACTACACTTTTAGTGTTTCCTCTGTATAAAGTTTTGACATTATTCCATTCAAACTGATGTCAATAATTGTCCATGTGCATTGGTATGAAACAGGAATATATATCGTGTCTATTCACGGCTGAATTGTGATCCTGGATTCTGATTCGAAGGGGACGCCCACTTTGTTGACCGACGTAATGCCTGTTACAGTTCATACATGCAATTTATTTTGTAAATGGTATTAATTTTATCTCCTTTTTCTGTTGGATCTTTCAGTTTGCATAATATCGAATTAAGCAATTTGACCGGCCGGCTTGTGTGCTGTATCCATATCAAACGGTTTCAGTATTCTAGCTGTTGTTTCAGAAATATTTCTCATGTATGGTAGCATGAATTTTCTTGTGGTCTTTGATGATGGTTCTTTGTTGGTATTGTGATTCAATTTTAAACATTGTTTGATGAAATTTTGTGGATAACCATTCTTTTTGAAGACCGTTTGTAGGTATTTTTCTTGCATTCTTTTTAACTCTGGAGTGCTACAGTGTGTTTGAGCTCTTTTAAACAATGTCTGCACACAGTTTCGTTTGTGAGTGAGTAATTGGATTATTGCTAGCATAGTTGAGTATTTGATCTGTGTATGTACGTTGATTTTCTATATACTTGTGTTTGTAAATTTCCTGTGTTGGTTCTCCTGATTAAGACATCTAAAATTGGGATTATGTTATCTAATTCTTCTTCTCTTGTGTTGAATTTGATGTCTTCAAATATGTTGTTGATTAATTTACGGGTGTATTCTAAATCATTACCCTTAACTATTACAAATGTATCATCAACGTAACGTACCCAGATTATCGGTTTAATTATAGTTCGAGCTATTAATTCGAATCTTTGCATGACGGCTTCAGCTATTAATCCTTCAGCTTTCATCTCCTCATATGTCACCCTTTAACCTACCTTTATATTGTTGTTTTCAGTACGGATACTAATAGAACAACAACTGTCTAATGGGTAGTACTGCTCGACAGTCTTTTCCATGTTTGTCCAATGCCTCTCTGCTTCCCTATGCATATTTGTCGAGTGATAGATTCTTGGTTGGTTGGTTGATTTGTTGGTTGCCAGGGTTACTTGTTGTTTATCCTTTCTGCTTAGCCATCTGATTTTTAGTATGGAATAAAAAACAGCAGCTGTTAATGAAAGCTTCCAAGAGCCTGTTAGAAATGTTCATCTTGACACATGAGATAAGTTTCTGAACTATATAGAAACGGTGGTCTGACATTGGTGTTGAAGATCCAAATTTTGTTCCTTCTACTGAGTACAGAACATTTCCATTCTGATTTCAGACGAACGAAGTTCTGTCTTGCCTTTTCCGATTCTGTCAGACTGTGATATCCTAATTTACGCCCTCAGCAATTCAAAACAGTTCTACTTGGATAAGTAAAAGATGTGACGTATTTCAAATTTCTACCATTTAATACTAGTTGGTGTTTTTTGTTGTCAGTTTGATATCTTCATTACTTCCGTCTTTTGTGTGCACACCTGAAATCTTGTCTTCACCGCTAATTCAGCCAATTTATTTGATTTTCATCTGTAAAAACACTTTCGAATTTGTTTGACATCAGACGTAAATCCTTCTCTTAGTCTAGGTCTTTTAGAGTCTTGTGATCAGCCCAACACAATCCTGTCTTCTCACTTCACATAGTCTGCTGCTGGATCCAAACCAGCACAAACAGGAATATTAATGGCTCTGTTACTTGTGTATTACTTTAATTAATTTAGTTTTAGTCGTGATATGAAGGGAATCGAAGTAAAATGAGAATTCTGCCAATGAAGTTGGACTGACTGACTGATTAAGTTATAACACAGAATTTTGCACACTAGTCCGGTACTTCAAATTGCCAAACTCTATATAGGTATGGATTAGAAAATAGAAATTGGAAAAACGACAGTGAGCGGAAATTCGCATGATGAAACATGGTCATTTTGTGGGCCTGGAAGACAACAAACAGCGGATGCGTCTACACCATTGAGAATGGTCTCAAGTGATTGGTTCTTGGTATCTTCAGGACCCACATAGCCAGTAATACGTATCCTTGGGATGGTAATCGATGTAGTTTCACAACCTTATCGATTAACTCCCCTTTCCTACTTAACACACTTCGCCTAACCTTAACACTCATCGCTGTATAATATCACTTAATACGGAAGGTGGAATGCAAACATTTCTGGTCACAAACAGTTAAACTCTTGATATCATTCAAGTTCAGTGACCCTATGTCGTGGCCATAAAAAAGGACAGTGAGTCGTTGCACAGTGTACACGTCCTTTGATCTACAGCTGGATATCACTTCTACCCCAGAGAGGAATTAAGTTGGCAAATGTTACATGAGCCCTTAGAATCCATGCTGAGATTTCGTCAGAAATCAGTTCATTAGGTTTTCCCGCCTTTTAACCTGAAGTCGGTTCAGATCAATCCCACATCATCCATCAGCTTTACATCTGGTGACAGTGGCGAACAGCAGTCGAAACATTCGGAGATTAGTGCATTTTGTCAGCATCTTCCCCCAGGAGAACAATATCATCTGCATACGCTAAGTTTACAAGATTCTCCCTTGTGAAAAATCAATATCCAAGTTGCTAAAGTCAGATGACCTTAACTTGGTTCCAGGGGACAGTAGATGGAGTGGATTATTATTATTATTACTTAATGTTCAGATTTAAGCGAAAAATACATTTGCAAATGCAGCATTAGTTGAAATTCACCTACCTAATTCATGCGGTAATTCATGACAAAAGACAGCAACACTTGTACTGAGGCCGCCAGAAATACTTTGGGCAAAAGCAGCACCTGCAAACCGGTATAACGAAAAAAAGAGCAACAAATCATCATGTATAAACCACAAAATAATCGAGCAAAGAATATCCTTTCCGATAATTTCCTGCTTCTCTGGCTCCACAATTACATATGTTTGTATACATAGAATATTCTAGATTAGTAGTCAATACCAATATTAGTGTTTTTTAAATAATATCAATTTGAAAAGTATGACCAATGGAATTACAGGTCATTAAAGATGCTTAAATTATAATAATAATAATAAAGGTATATTAGCGAATAAAATATCAACTAAAATTAGAAAAATCCCACAAAAATTCCGGATCATTCAAAAGTGGATGGCCAAGCGGGTAAGGATAATATCTGAACTAACTTCTTTTGGATGCACAAATTAGGCTTGTTAATATGGATCCCAACAGCCAGCCTCAGCGGTATTTAGTAGTCGAACTCCTAAGACGAAATCGAGATTCGCAAGTATGCCGTAAATGCCCCTGAAGGCTTGGTTAAAATCAATCTTGTGTTCTGTATCCACAAAATGAGATATAATAGCGCTGAGAATAGATTTTGTTTGTCATTTGCTTAACCACTATGCAGGGTGAAGTTCGGAAATTCGACGAGAAACACGCCTAATTGTACGGCCTATGTAAATGACTCACTCCACAGCAGCAGTTAAATTGGTAGATACACATGGAAAAGGCGAAATTAGGCAGTTTATCTTTTACTCCCGAAAGTAAAAGAGGAGTGGTTTTGAAGACACAGCATAATTCAGAAACAGGGAATGCTCTTTTTACCGTATTTCTAAGGCACTGTGTTAGAAACTCGCTGATGTTGTCCCCAAGGAACTGCATCTGTAAGAATAAGGCGTTTTTCGGAACTGTTGGTAACTGGAGCTGTTTTCGTTTTAGATTCGTATTCTTATCAATAAACTTTTCAGGATAACCATTTTCACTTAGCAACCGTTTACTATTCATAAGTTCCTCATCAAGACATTCGTCCGAGCAGTTTGCTCTTGCTCTATGAACCAAGCGCTTTATCAGATTGCGTTTGTATTTCAAGGGCACGAAGCTGAGGAAATGTGTATACTGACCAGTTAGTTGATGTAGGTTTTCTATATACACTTCTTCCTATTATTCCGTCCTCTTTTCTGGTCATTAGGTCATCTGACCTTAATTTCTAGCAAAATGAACAAAAGTAAAGATGTCAGAATGCATCCTCCATTATCTAAACAGCTAGAATTTCACCAAGTCTAGCAAGCTGAATGTGGCAACAAGTATTTGCAGATATTGATATTGTCTGGCAGTGTTGTGATGTCACCAACTGACAAAAATTAAAAACCATGAGGCATGGGATAGAAATCAAGTAGTTTAATGACAATGCGCTCACCTGTCAACTTGAAATTCATACGTTCGAACCAAGATGGCACTATGTGTACTTAAGGCTAAAGAGTCCTTAAATGGGACGAAACAGTTGTCCTATTTTTCTTGGTTATCAACTGTTCCCTCACTGGTATCGAATCGTGACAAAATGCTCCTTAAAATCGTTTAAATCTCCTACCAACAACCACTAGAAAATGAGATATGTAAAGTTAAAGTTGATCACTCAATCTACTAAGGGGTATGAAGAAGATCTGACCCTTTGTAACACTGAATTTATGTATTAGTAGTGTAAATTTTCATTTGAAGTATACATATATTTATATCCATAGCGTGTACATGTTTCACTGCGTTAAATTCCTAGTTAACTGTGTGTATTCTGCGACTGCCGATAATGAAGAATCATAAAATCTTTATATATATATATATATATATATATATATATATATATATATAAATGAAAGGTGTTTATAATAATTAAATGACTAGGTAATTCACAGTGTAATGGAAAAATCTTTCCGAATGTAAGTTTTGAATTTCAGCAGTACATAAGTTACTTACTTGGAAGTAACGCGTATCGTGCTTCCCATGTACTGGCTACTTTATTATTTTTGCAGCTTTCTTGTACTGTGGTTAATAATTTCTATAGTTGGTTTGTAATGATTACATTTGTTTTTTACGAGTTGATCACGGATTTATATCAGTTAGAGAACCATTGAAAGCCACCGAGGAGTGGACAGCTATTTCATCCTAGTTTGGGAATCGTCGGCAGTACGCACCCACCATAGAAAGTTCGAACCCAGGTACTTCCGAGTTACAAGGCAAGCTGGCTCGTATACCATTCACCCACTGGGTCCCGACTCAATGGTCAATCCATGAATTCTAACTTCTATCAACTCGTGATTTAGCGCGACTCCAACCAATGTCGTCGGTGAGACATCCATCCACACACGTGACCTTCTGGATGGACCTAACTGGTCACGACTTCTCATCTGAACTCCAGGAAACTCTATCCTGTAGCAGATCATCAGCGAGCCTCAGATTTATTTTCTATAGTTTGCTTGTGATGAATAGTTTTGTGTTTGCGAGTTTTGTTTTACGAGTAGTTTAATTTATTTGAAACTTAAAAAGTAGCTCAATAATTGACTCAAATTTCGATTTTAAATTCCACGGGGATTCGGATCAATTCGAATGTAGATTATGACAGGGAGTCACATAAGTTAGAATTACTAAATATTATAGTTTAGGACTCCACAGCAGGGTGAGCCCAGCAGCCAACCAAGGATAAAACTCAGGACCTCCGATGAATTGGTCAGCTTTTCAGTTATCTGCGGGCTTTTTTTATATTCCTTTATATTCCCAGTGTGGAACAAAGAGGAACCTTTAAGCTAGAGACTTGAAGTTTCGGTAGAAGTGGTATTTATTGTTGTGGAATGGGGTTGTTAGCCCCATGCCCATCCGAACCTTCCCTCTTTACCAGTCTTACTACTGACTTAGCGGGGTAGAGGAGTGAGTCTGTGGCCGAAGATCGAACGCCGGCCCATCTGTGGTCCCAAACTAGGATGAAACAGCTGTCCATTACTCCCTGCAGGTTTTCTACTGGTTCTCTAACTAATGTCAGCTCATGTTGACGTTCTGTAGCCATTCAGTGTTTATTATGAAGTTCTGAGCACCCACTGACTTCTAATTACTATATATTAAGGCAGGAAATAATAAATACGTTGCAAATAGCGTTTAATATATTTATTCGTTGAAGTTTCTGTAGCTGTACGACAACGGCACCTGCCAAGTGATCCACAACGGAAGACTCAGCGAGGCGTTTGGAGTAAACACAGGAGTCATACAAGGGTGCTTACTATCACCAATGATATTCCTAATTGTGGTGGACTGGATTATGCGTCAGACTGTGGAAAACGAGAAGACAGGAATATCCTGGACCGACGTGAAGAACCTAGAAGACCTGGATTTCGCGGATGACTTATGTTTGATGTCACACACAATCGAAGACTTACAAGCGAAAACCGACAAACTGGTCGAAGAAGCAGCAAAAACAGGACTCCACGTAAACATAGACAAGACGGGGGCTATGAAAATAACCAACCAACAACAGCAACAACATCCAACGTCAATCACCATCAACGGGAGGGATTTGAAAGAGGTTACTTCATTCACTTATCTAGGGAGCATTGTCTCAACTACAGGAGGAGCGGAAGAGGATGTCAAATCGAGAATCGGGAAGGCGAGAAACACATTCATCAGCCTGAAATCAATCTGGAAATCTTCGTCACTCAGCATCAACAACAAAATTCAGTCGGATTTTCAATACAAACGTAAAGTCAATTCTTCTATACGGATCAGAAACTTGGCGGGTCACAAAGAATATTTCCAAAAGGCTGCAGACCTTTATTAACAACTGTCTTCGCTCAATACTGAAGATCAGATGGCCGGGCCGGAAAGAATCACCAACAAGGAATTATGGGAACAAACAAACAAAGCAAGAACCAATCGCCCAACAAATATGCAGGAGAAAGTGGAGATGGATGGGACACTCGCTGAGGAGACCGCTGGGTGACATCGCGCGCCAAGCCCTCGAGTGGAACCCGAAAGGGAAGAGGCGTGTGGGACGTCCAAGGGTGACATGGAGGAGATCGTGTGAAGAGGAGTTGAAATAATATGGATTAACATGGATGCAGGTGAAAAGTATAGCAGAAGACAGAAGAAAATGGAGACGTGCAGATGAGGCCCTATGTTCCACTAGGAACCCAAGGGAGCAATAATAATAAATAGCGTTTAAAATTAAACTTCATTTTTATAGCGAAAAAAGCATATGTGCAAAAGTTTTGATACAGACCAATAGCCATTCCATCCGTAAAATTGTGCAGACCATCACCCATAATGACCATCCAGGCTACGGCGGCTACAGATTCTGGAACCTAGGAGGGTAAAGAAGACAAAAAAACATTCATCTTCGTGTACTGAACAGAAAAATCAATCAATTTAGAAAGGAAATATGAAGTAATGTGCTTTTCAGCGAAAATGTTCCTCTAAAAAAATAGTTCACATTCAGGGTATTTTGGTTGCCTCTGATGTGGCTGATGTGTTCTTTTAGCTGGGTGGTTTAACTGTGAATAGCTTTCACCGTCTGTCTCTCTCTATACAATAAGTCTTCAATGCAGACGTTGATATGAATCAAGCATATGTAAATCTCCAATTACAACAGCTACAATCTTACAGTATTAGAACAAGACATATAAGCTAACAGTATTATCTTAAATTAATCTGATGCTCGCTAGGGACTTACTACAGGTTGGAGTTTTCTGTAGTTCTAGTGAGAAGTCGTGATCACCGAGGTCCATCCAGATGCCACTAGTGAGGATGAATGTCCCATCTACGACAATGGTTGGGTCACGCTAAATCGCGAATCGGTAGAAGTTAGAATTCATGAGCCATCGAATTAGGTCCCAGTGGCTGAATGGTATACGAGATGGCCTTGTAACCGGAAGGTCCTGGATTCGAATCCCAGTGGGTAGGTACTTCCGATGATTCCGAAACTGGGATGAAATAGCTGTCCAGTACTACCTGGTTTTCAATGGTTCTCTAGCTGATGTCAATCCGTGATCAACTCGTAATAACAGTAATGTTGTTTTCAATTAGATCTTCTTCAGGCTTTACTCTAACTTACAATTTTAACCAATGACCGTGATTTTGTGGACTAAATAATCATAATAATATGGCAAATCTTTTGAACGTCATTAATAACGATGATTATATTGATAACAAAATATTGATAAGAAGGTTTGTGCAGGTGGCGATAACAATAACGAAAGCAGTAATAGGTGTGTGTGTATATATATAGACAATTCAATATATAAATACATTAGGTCAAACCTTAAAAGTTACGCAATACTGAAGGTGAAGTGGACAGATAATCAGAGTCTAAATAATCAACATAAAATAGGAAGGAGATGGAAGATAAGGAAGGGTTGAAGGGTTTTGAATAGAATTCACCTAGGCCAATGGAGAGACAAATATAGAACAAACTTCATTTGTAGTATACAAAGACTAGGACTGTTCTCTCGAATTAATTCCTGTTGCTTCGGCTATGTGTAAAAGCCGGGTTAGAATTCCATTCGAAAGGTGACCGCTATCAACCAAATTAGCCAAAATAGAACTTCTTATAGATTTTATTTGACTTTTTCCGAACCATGAAGGAAGATGCTCATTAATGCCTTTGTTGAGCTGTCTAGTTGTTCACCCTATATAGCTCTGTCCACAGGAGCTAGGTAGCTTGTCTTTCACTTGAACGATCATAATTGGTCGCCAACTGGCAAATGGCAAAGAAAGGGTGTTGATGGCAGTACAAGTCCGTTTTATTGCTCTGGATAATCTCAGACGTAAAACTTCACTAGCCATGTCCCCATCAGATTGTAGTTTCATGAATAGTTGTTTCTTTTTAACTGTTGTCAGTTTCTCTTTATTCTACCTGGTATTCATGTGTTTCCTTACAAATCTAATAGGATAACCTATTTGAACCACCGTATTTTGGATGTATACTAACTCACTTTCTAGGCAGTCATCTGTAGTACAGATTCGTCTGGCTCTATTCTTGAGGCATCTGACGAAGTTGATTTTGTGTCGGATTAGTACAAAACTGAGGAAATGTAACAGTATACAAAGGAAACTGTGTATGGACATTATTCAAAGGAAGTAAAACACACTGAAGCACTTTAGCCAAGAAGATAAGAGAAATATCTGTTAACTGTCTTCAAAAATAATGGGTACCCCCAGAATTTTCTTCAAATCAGCAGCAAGAAACGATAATCAGAAACCAGAAGGGAATTCATCCTACCACATATAATGTTTTTGGAATAATAGCTAAAATACTTAAATCATTCGGAACAAGTACCGCATACAAACCAACACAATCCCTTCATTCAGTACCATGCAGACGAAAAGAACCATCCATTCAATAGAAAAAGAACATAAGATTATCATCATCAATTGTGATAAACACCACAATAATCAAAGTAGGCGTCCTCTTCGACTCCAACTTCTAGAAACCTAGTACTTAGATGAATCCATAATCAACAAATATTGTGATAAAACCAGATTTATGCATCAATGGAAAAAAGTCAGATAAACAAGAGATCAAACTTCATGTCAACGCTATAATCAATATCAATACAAGTGAACCCGAGGATCAGAAAATCTCTCTAGACAACCATTTGCGCCAAAGTTAAGCAATAGCATCCCAAGGAATGCGAACTCACGAGTGACCTTGTGCCGATCAACCATAAAAATAAGTGACTTTCGTATACAAAATGACGTGTATACACAAGAAGATGCATGAAAACACATTTACCAGGGTATCTTTCTCTCGTATGACTTGGAGTGAGGAGTATCAGTTGCTACGTTAGACTAGTTTCTGTACATGTATTCACAAGGTGACTTAAGGTGGGCATTTTTGTGACCAGTTCATCGCTCTTATCCTATTTTGTAGTCTTCTCTGGAAACCCTTGATGGAATTACTATGGTTTCCAGGATGAGGATGGATGACTACTTATGAGGAAAATGTGGATAATAAAACAAATTAAACTGAATGATTCTTTTTTTACTCTGTTACGTTCCCAGTGGAACATAGGACACATAGTTTTTTACATCAACTTTTTTTTCACCAATCGAGTGGTTGTTTCACTTAATCAGTTTTAGGTTTAGAGGGAAGGGTTGGAATTAAGAGGATTAAAGTCATCAAAACATCAGTTAACTAATGGATATTAATAACATGATATCACTGGATGTGCCTTCCTAATTCACAACATGCCTTCAATGGAAATAGTTGATTAAATAGATAATGAATTCATATAAAAAGGTACAGAGACTGGAATTCCTGAAAGTTCCTGAAAGGAACTTTTTCTAAGGTGTACAATGAAGGTAAACTTTTTTGTTCAATAAAGAAATGTGTAGACAGTTAGATAGTGTTGCTATGAAATCACCACTAGGTCCATTTCTAGCAGCTTTTTTCCTCGGAAAAATAGAGAATGGCTCATTTAAAGATGTAACGTATAATCTCAATTTTTATTGCCGATATGTCGATGAAACATTTCTAGTGCTTAAGAAAGAAAGTGAGACTAAAGATAAATTGGACAAGTTCAATAAAGCAACTCTTAGCATAAGCTTCACTAAGGAAGAAGAAACTGACTCCATCTCATTTCTGGAAGTTCTAATGACTATCCGACCAAATGGAACAATATGTAGACGTTTGTATAAAAAGCCTACTACCACTAGACAATATACTCACTTCCTGAGCTTCGTACCCCTACGATGCAAACGTAATCTGGTTAGATGTCTGGTTCGCCGCGCTAGAGTTATCTGTTCAAATGAGACTCTGAACGAAGAACTCGGCAATATTCGTGAACTACTAAATAGAAACGGATATACGGCTGAATTCGTGAAAAAACACATGAACTCAGAAAGTAAGAAGTCTAAGGTGCCAACTGTTCCCGTAAAATCAGTTTTCCTAACATTATAATGCACGTCTGATGTCAATAGCCAGATCTTATTTACAACATCTGAGAATGTCCTTCAGAAGGACTTTCTATGCAACTAAGTGCCAATCACCATCAACGGGAAGGGTTTGAAAGAGGTTACTTCATTCACTTATCTAGGGAGCATTGTCTCAACTACAGGAGGAACGGAAGAGGATGTCAAATCGAGAATCGGGAAGGCGAGAAACACATTCATCAACCTGAAACCAATCTCGAAATTCTCTGCTCACACTCAGCACCAACAACAAAATTCGGTCGAATTTTCAATACAAACGTAAAGTCAGTTCTTCTATACGGATGAGAAATTTGGCGGGCAGGCGGGTCACAAAGAATATTTCCAACAGCCTGTTGCACACCTTTATCAACCACAACTGTCTTCGCTGGCTGTATACTAAAGATCAGATGGCCGGGCCGGAAAGAATCACCAACAAGAAACAACTATGAGAACAAACAAAACAAGAACCAATCGCCCAAGGAATATGCAGGAGAAAGTGGAGATGGACTGGATACTCGCCGAGGTGATATCGCGTGAGCGCCAGGCCATTGCTCCAGGGGAACGCGAAAAGGAAGCGGCGAGTGGGACGGCAGTGCGAGGGTGACATGGAGGAGATGGTATGAAGAGGAGTTGAGACAGTATGAACTAACATGGATGCAGGTGAGAAGTACAACAGAAGACAGAAGCAAGTGGAGACGTGCAGTTGAAGCCCTATGTTCCACTAGGAACCCGAGGAAACAATAATAATAATGCAGCTAAGCTATGCTGCATATTCACTAGCCGACCAATACTTAATTCAGGAAATAAAGACAGACTGTCCTGTTTCGCCTCTTCCATGTATATATACTAGTTTAACTGCTCACGCGGAGCTAGTTACATTGGGAGTACGATCAAGCAAGTTCATCGTTGAATTTCTTAAAACACCTGCCATCTTGATTTAGCAAAGGTCCGGATAAAGCTATATGCAGCTCAGTACTAGCTCATCTCGATGAAACTGAACATTAAGTCGACTTCAGCAAAGCTTTTAAAGTTATTTATCGTATTTCACTCATCCTGAGACATGGTCTACGAGTACAACGTTTACATACAACAGAGGAAATCGGGACTCATCTGAACAAGCCGAATCTGTGTGTCCAAATCAAATTTGTACATAATATGTATTATGTTTTTAAAAACGACTTTTCCTCTCCCCTTGTAACCATCTTTTGACGTTTTACAATTCTAGTTAATTCTATTAACTTGTTTGTATTTTACATAATTCTATTATTTCTATTTTTTACATTAAATTTTATTTCTTTGACTCCGCAGTGGAACACAGGGCTTCAAGTTAGAGGCTTGAAGTGTCGGTAGCAGCGGTATTTATTTTTATGGGATGGATTTGTTGGCGTCATTCCCAACCTTTCATCTTTACTGGGCTCACTATCAGCTAAGCGAGGTACAGGAGTGCGTCTACGACCAGAGGTTGAACCCCAAATCACTTAAGTAGGTTGGCCAGTGTCCTACTACTTGAACCACTAACGAACAGTGGAAGCTTTCTGGCCCCATAACTCTATTCTTCCTAGTTACTATTATTTTAAAGATTTATGGATTGCATAATAGCTTGTTTCTAAAGCCTAAGAATTAACTTATCTTGAATTCCTTAATTAACTTTCATTCCTCCTTCAAAATTGAGATATCTTGTTACTAACACCTATTAGTTAGTTGATGCTTTAATGACTTTTAACCTATTAATTAATTTCACGCAAATCCCCCTGCTATACCTAAAACTGATTAACTAAAACAACGACTTGGTTGGCAGAAAATGTTGATGTGTAAAGCTCGTTGACGATGAGAAACTAATTGAAATAAATGGTTTTGCAAGTTGCTTGTAGCGAAAAGAAAAGATGAATACTCACCTCGTGTGTATGACCATGGCCATGACCATGACCATGTCCTTTAGCGTTTGTTTTATCCTCTTCCTCTTCACGATGATCAGTTGATTCAGTTGGCTGCTTCATACAAAAGAATAAAAGTCTGTGGGTTATGTAACTTAAAATAATTGAAAAAGATTTCAGGAAATATATTACTGCAGCTGTATATTACTTTCTTATATATTTTCAGTAGTATATTCACCATGCAGTTAACCGAATAATGTTAGTGAAACGTAGTAGACACAAGAGATGACAAAAAGCAGCATAAACAGAGACTATAAAATTTATCAAACAAGCTGAATTCTCTCTGAAAAGAAACAGTCCCTGTGAAAAGTTATTAAGTTTGATGACGAAATGATTTGGGTGAGAGAAGCTTTTAAACCTGTAGAGAAGTATTAGAGAGATGTCTCATTCTTGTTTGTTACCCTTCGACAGTACGCATCCACAACCCCCAAGACCTTAAGGTTACGCGTTAATTCCGTTGATCATTCAGAATAGGGGATGGAATCCAGTAGGACACGAGTTCTAAATTTCGCCAATTCACGGTATCTATGACATCCCAAACCGGTGTCATGCATGATTATTTGACACCACATACAACTAGGTGGACTCAACTGGTGGTTGCTGTGTATATCACAAGCTAGTTGAAGTTAGAATCCATGGCCCACTGATTTTCTTCACAATGACTGGCATCGGAGCCGGAAGGCTTTTGGTTTAACTCCCAGAAGAGTGATGGGTACGTGCTGATAAAATTCTAATTTAGTATGGAACACTTGATCCTATTTTTCAGTACTTCTCTAACTAAAGTCAGTTGGTTGTCAAAAGTGAAGTCAGTTAAATCCCTGCATAGCAATACTTGTCGACTGGACTGACTCAAGAATGAGCTTAGAAATTAACACAAGCGTACAGGTTACAAACTAACACGCTTCCAAAAGACTTGTAATTAGGTGGTGTTTAAAGACTTATTATCAGTACTCCCTGGGGTTTTGAGTGGAACAGAGGGCTTCAACAGCCCATCTATACTTTCTTCAGTTCTCTATTGTCCTCTTAAGCTGAGCTAACTACTGCTCATAATCTCTTGTCTTTTCCAACTAGCACGATCTCCTCCATGTCACCCTAGCACTGCCGACCCACTTGTTGATTCCCATTCGGATTCCACTAGAGTGACGGCCTGCTTCTCGTGCGATGTCATTCGATGGCCTTCTCAATAAATATCCGATCCATCTCTACTTTCTCCTACATATTTGATGGTTGGCGTATTGTCAGAGTTTCTTGTTCGACTTTGTAGGACACTAAACATAAATCATCCGCTAAATGCAGATCTTCTAGAGTCTTCTTATCTTTCACCAGTATGAATGTCTCCTCACTGTCTATGGACAGTCTGACGCAAAACCCAGTCCACCATATTTAAGAATGTCATCAGTGATAATAGGCAGCCAGCCAGCTTGTCTTACTCCACTTCGAAAGCCTCACTGAGTTTATCAGTGTGGATCACCTGACACGTAGCATTCTCAAATAGCCAGCTGTTGAATGAGGTCGATAAAGACTTGGGCACTGCACACCGCAGTGCTGAAGCGGTTCCCAAAATACTTCTCGGTCAACGCTCTCTGTCGAAGACCTTGAAGTCAATGTAGTTAAGGTACAGGCTTGATTGCCATTCAATAGTTTGTGCGATGATGATGATGATGATGGATAGAGTTGCAATTTGATCAGCACATGATTTGCCTTCCCTGAATACAGCTTGTTCCGGGAGGGTTTATCGACTTAATGGCTTCATAATCGTTTAGTAGCCTTGTAAAAATGTTCATATTAGCACACAAATAAAGACTTAGTTGTCGAGAAAATTTATTCATCTAAAATTCTACCTGGATAGTTTATGGAAAAATGTTGAAAATAAATTTAGTTTTGCCATTTATTTATACCTTCGATCGTTGGTTTTAATTTAACCAGGTTTGTCATTGTCGACAACCATGTTCATTAAGACATCGGTAAAAATTAATGTGTATAAGTGTCAGCGGAATTGAAATAAGTAATTCTGAGGTTTCGTCCGGAAACTTGACTAGAACTTCTTTAGGAGAATGATCAAAGTTAAAATATCAAATGGTATATATCAACAAATACATCTTGTTTCCGAAATTCTTTTTCGAACATGTCTGACTCATAAGCAGACTTCAGAAACATACGGGAAATTTATCCCTAAGTATTTAGGATAGATGTTATGCTTAAGATAATAGAGACTGAGAACGCTATGTGATGGTACCGATTACATAGTCTAATTGGTGGATGGTGACTAACAGTGAAATCCGGGATGCGCATTTCGTCCTATTTGAGACTCGTCATCTGGATACACCTGCTTTCTGAAGTGGGTGATGATGTTCCCCCTGAGGCTCTAACCCACTGCCCTTCTTATTATATGCTGAGACATTATCGAAGCATCTGCACAAGAAATCGACGTGTCAACCTGAGACTGAGCACTTCGGTCCAATCAGTTGATGGAAAAATCTAAATTGAATTGAATAATAAATGTGGCCCGTTGCCCAAGAGATGGCTGTCACGATGGTCCGGTGTATAACAATGTTCGCTGGGTTCGAACCTCAGTGGGAACATCATTAATCACTGAGGAATGCAGGTTCATCCAGTGACGAGTCCCAAATAGGACGAAACGCGCATCCTGGATTCCACTCCTAGCCACCATCCACCAGTTAACTTAGAATTGCATGCCCAGACGCCATCGAAGCATTTGCACAAGAAGCCGACATGTCAACCGTAGACCAAGAACTTCGGTCCAATCAGTCGACGAGAAAATCTAAAACTGAATTAAATTACATAGTTTGTTCGACAATTTAATAGGATTGTCGAATAATCTATGAATTCTGATGAAGTTACGACCTTTGATATTCTAATTTTGATTGTTTTCCCGGATATATTCGGATTTGTCCTCCAAGTGAAACCTCGAAGTGATATGTTTCTATCTCACTGAGATTTACACATATATAATTCAAAGATGTCTAATTTTTGAATTGAATTTTTTGATTTTCCCGTCGATTGATTGGACCGAAGTGCTTGGTCTCAGGTTGACATGTCGGCTTCTTGTGCAGATGCTTCGACGATATCTGAGCATTTAATTAGTATACAATTGGTGGATGGTGACTAGCAGTGGAATCCAGGATGCGCATTTCGTCCTATTTGGGTGTCGTCATCTGGATGTACCTGCATTTCTCAGTGAGTGATAATGTTCTAGTGGATAACGCTTTGGCGTTTGAAACTATGGGCACTGGGTTCGAGCCTCGGTGGGAACATCATCGCTCACTGAGAAATGCAGGTACATCCAGTTGACGAGTCCCAAATGGGACGAAATGCGTGTTATCCTGGATTCCACTGCTAGCCACCATCCACCAATTGTATGTCTAATTTTTCTTCAGCATCCCATATTTGTGGAACTATTTATCAAAGTCGGTCGGCAGGAAGACTCGCTTCACCTAGGTTTCGTGCTAGTTAGCATTCACCAGTCAGCAAGACGTTACCACTGAGCCAGCTATTCGGGCTTGCTAGTGAATTTTTGTAGGACTGTACTGGATTCTTGATTGGAAACTTGAGTGATAGAATTCATTCCGCCTCAAACAAAGAACTAGACACATCACACTAGCAAATAACTACTATCCAATCAAAAATGTGCTGTTTGCTTGAACATCTGATATTCTTCCAAGTGGCCTGACAATTGAATACGGAATACGAGTCTTCTTTAGTTTTAAACTCCTCAGATCACTTATTAGCGCATTTGGACGAAGTTTTTTAGAGTTCCACATCTCAAACGCCACATCACTGCTTATCACGGATCTATTTGACCGGATTTCATGCAAAACAGATTGAAAAGCCAGGTCTAATATATACAACTAAAGGAAATTGAAAGCATGAATAAATGAAATTAATTTAGCAGCATCGCACAGAAGAAAGTTCCCATGGCTTTACACGCTTATGGCTGACATTCCGGCGAAAAACATCAACGAGTAGTAGTTCCTAGTATCATTAAGATTACTATCAGTCATTGTGACAAAGATTCTGCAGAAAGGGATGAAAACAACATCCTAGTCTCAGTACCTACCTACACACACACACCCAAGTAATGAACACCAAACCCGCCTGTTTTTCTATTACCTTCAGTTTTGATTCCATTCGTTTCTCATCGTCTTGTTCTACTTCGATTGTAATCTTTGGAACATTTATTGTTGACGTATTCACTTGTTGAGATTGTTGACTGTCGTGTTGACTATCATCTTTAGTTGATAATGTTGTGTCACTGGCTTGTTTAGGCTTGTTTATTCCACGGCTGCCCAACTGTAATTCACTTTTAACTAATGGATGCTCAATAGAAGAATCATCTGAACATCTTCTTGTCAATTCATCGTATTCTTCTGCATAACTATAAAGTATGTCGATTGATTTCATAGCTAAAAAAAAACATTTAAAAAACGCGGTGAACATCTGCCCGGCCAAGTTTAACAATAGCGTCCCAGGAGTGCGAACACACGAGTCACCTTCAGCTGACCAATCATAAAAATGAGGAATTTTTGCTGAAAAAATTATGTATATTGACAAGAAAATGCTTGAAAACGCATTAAACAGGCTATCCTTCTCTGACACGGCTCAAAAATACGTCCTGGTTGCAACGAGGAGTAACGGTTGCTAAGTTAGACTAGTTTCTGTACATGTATTCACTGGGATGACTACAGATATACTATTTTTGTGAATCGTTTATCCCTATCATCTTGCTTGCAGTCTTCCAAAAAAGCCCGCGGTTGAATTATTATGGTTTTCAATAAGAGGATAGACGACTACTTACCAGGAAAACGTGGATAATAAAACAAATTAAAATAAATGACTTCAGGATTTCATCATGAGCTGACATTAGTTAGAGAACCATTGGAAAACCAACTGCAAGTACTGGACAGCTGTTTCCTCCGTCCTAGTTTGGGACTCTTCACCAGTACGCACCCACCGGGATTCGAACCCAGGACCTTCCGGTTACAAGGCGAGCTCGTATACCATTAAGCCACCGGGACCCGATCCAGTGGTCCTTGAATTCTAACTTCGGGCCGATTCACGACATAGCGCAACCGCTAGCCAATGTCTTCGGCGAGTATTTGTCCTCACACCCGACCGGCTGCACCCTAATGGTCACGACTTCCCACTGAAACCCAAACTAGGACGAAACAGCTGTCCAGTACTCCCAGGTTTTCCTATGGTTCTCTAACTAATGTCAGCTCATGATGAAATCCTGAAACCAATCAAATCCCTACAAACCATCACTAAAATAAATGACATCAACTATAAATCTATCCCTAATCGTAACCATGAGCTTAATCCTGACCCTAACACTAACATTAACCTTAATCCTAACCCTAATCATAACCTTTATCCAAACCGTAATTCTAACCCTAATGCTAATTATAACCCTGATCCTAACCCTAACCCAATACTTAACCTTAATTCTAACGCTAACGGCTATTAACACATTGTCCAAACAGTATTTAAAAACGCGATCTAGGTGAAATTTGCTGCTTAGCTGGTGAATAGTCTTGATGTATTAGCCGTGATGGTGACAGATGCCATTGGCCAACGACTAGCCTGCGTTCAAGGTCATCGGAGCGTTCACACTTCTGGGATGCTGATGTTGGATATCTGCCCAAATTTAACTCGAAAATAAGAGGAAAAGTACAACTGCTGCTTCCGTGTGATTCGGATACAGAGTGTAATGAAAAGCATTCCCAGAAGACTAATTCAGACCTTCGTCAACACCTGCCTTCACCGGCTAAATAATGATGCCTAGGATAAGCAACAAGGTACACTACAGTGTGACAAACCAACCAGAAACTTATGTTGAACAAAGCGCCTAACAACAATTGTACCAGGATAATATGAGCTCATATTTTATTATTTGATCGAGGATTCTTCTCAAACGGTTACAACCTGAACGATAAAAAATATGAATAACATTAAAGATCTGGACATACTTTTCCATGATCAAAGCAGTAAATGGTAGGAATTAAAAGTAACATTAGTCCGGCATGATTTAACTAATTAAGAGTTACAAACACTGACTATCTATAGAATAATTAGACAATTAGGCTTGGAAACAAAAAAATTAGATTTGCGTATAGAAACAAGGTTCAGCTAGAAAGAGCATGACAAAAAAGTGGATTAGATAACTAAAGAAAATGTTTTATCTAATAGCCAATAAAAAAGGAAAAGGAACAAGGTAGGGTGAGTCATGTTTAGATGAGAGAGTGGAGTTTTCTAAACATGAAAAAGGGTGACTCATGAAACTTGCATATATATATATTGTTATCACCAGGGCAGTGCAAGGTTCACCACTGTCTCTTTCTGCTTACATAGATTTGATTTGAGTCGTTTGATAGTAATCGCTTCAGCGAAGCGTAGCAAGCTAGGTTTCTTTTGCTTGTTGATTATTTTGAACGACTTCTGATTGTCTACAATATGACAAGTGTCCAGTAGATGACGCGCAGTTGTACTGCTTAATTCTTGGGGACCTTTCAGTCTCAGGTTCTCTGGTATGTGTTTAGAAATGTGGACTATAACCCTTCTCTCTGTTTTTCCAATGTATATACTTTGGCACGTACATGTAAATTAGTAGACACAGTTGGAAGTAATATGAAGTGGGTATTTGTCTACTTCTGATCGTCTCAAACAACTAGTTGTTTGATAAAGACATATAAGCTTGGCGGCTGGATATATTCTTTTCAGGGCAGCGTTCAGTCTGCATCTGATTCTACTAGCAGTATCATCACCTTTGAATGCAAGCTGCAGAAAGATAGGCTTTTTCTCTACTGTGCTGCTTTTCATTTTTTCAATATGACGTCTCCCATACTTGTCGATGAACTTTTGTGGGTCACCGTTGTTGCGTAGGCATTTCTCCACAATGGATAGCTCTTCCACAAACTTTTCTTTTGAACCCAGCTTCCTTACACGATCAAATAATGTTCTTACCAATCCCTTTTTTGTAACTTGTAGGGCAGAAGCTTTTATGAGTCTTCCTTTTTCTTGCTTAGAAAACGCTACTCTCTCTCTCATCTAAACATGTGGTCGTGGAAAAGTATGTTCAAAACTTTAATGGAATTCATATTCTTTATCGTTCAGGTTGTAACCAGTTGAGAAGAATCCTCAATCAAATAATAAAATATGAGCTCATATTATCCTGGTACAATTGTTGTTCTTGTTTTGTTCAAGTTTATTAATGAGAAGAATTGCATGAAGTTTTTTAACAGGAACTTATCGCCTGATAAACATGTTCATAAAGATATAGACTGAAGGGGTGAAGGGCACATCTGACGGGTATTTTATAATAAACCTCATGATCTTACAAATAAACATACATATTGTAAGATTAGTATTAGTGTTGAATGAAATACATTACACCTAACTTACCTTTACTGCTTAACCCTGTGACAAGTATATCTTCATTAGCCATTGACATAGCTCTTGATGCTCTTCTACACATATTTGGATCAAATTGAGACAAACGTCTTGCTTGTCCTGGGACGGGTAGGTGTCCACCTGGCACTAATGATGTTCTTACTGAACTTAGACGACGACCTCCAGGCGCTACAGGTAGATTCTGTAAAGCTCTTTCACGATCTTCCTGTTACAAGAAAGATAATATACAAGATAATGTCATATATTTAAGATGAGTTTTTCGCAGAATACAAAAATTATTGACAAAATTAACTGTCTCATTCTTATTGATCGTTTCAGGTAGTTGAAGAGGTTTATTTTCAATAAAATCGTCTTGAAAAGTGTTCCTCCTCAGTTTCGTTGAATAAACAGGGAATAAACAGATGTCAACAGTTCCATGCTGTTGAAGAGTATTCCATTTTATGTAGATTTTTGACAGAATATACCTCTAAAACGACAGATAATACTAACTTCTCATTCGACCAAAATCCGAATCAGTTAGAAAAATAGGGCTTCAAGCTTTAGAAAGCCAATAATCTTGGTGTTTTTTAAACTAGGTGAGGTCGCTAGCCTCATTTGTTGCCTCTTCTCTTTTTTAGGCTTACTATGTGACAGTGAACAAGATGAAGGTCAGGAGTGCGTCAACCATCAACCAGACTGCGACCCCAAGCGTAGCTGGTGATCATTCTAAAGCTAAACTACCGACATATGTGTAAAACTTGGGCACTGTGGTAGTAAGTAATTCCATATTAAGTTGTTTATTAGATGTATCACATGGTCAGTAAAACAGTATTATTTACTGCGTGACAAGGTTTCGAACAAAATTTATTGCTGTTCATAATCATATCAATTGTAATCACACAACTTTGAAACTTGAGTTTTATTGTTTTCTTTGTCTTCTCTCGTATTTGCCGTCGTAGTGGTAGTAGGATTTTTCAGATATTTGGAACGGGTGTCATCAAAAAAGTAGAACAGGGGCAGTCAGACTAGCCGATCATAAAAACCTAGCAAAAATCTAGATTAGTTGACACAGATAAGATAAGAAATCTAGAGAATAGTTCAGCTATAACAGGATTACATGCAATTACACACAACACAACCATACAATCGGATGGGATAGGGTGAGAGTTTTAAAATCTAGTGCTGTGGCAGGGAGGGAAAGATTGATAATAGAAGCTTTGTTTATCGAATCAACTGCAAATACATGTAATAGGAATGATTCAACACCTGTCCATCCAGATATCTGGAAAATTCTACTAACTCTACGACGACAAATAGGAGAGAATAAAGAAAACAATGAAACTCAAGTTTCGAAATCGTGCGTTTATAATTTATAAGATTATGAACAACAGATTTTCTTCGAAGCGTCATCCACTATTTCACTGTGTGATACATCTAATAAACAAATTGATATGGAATAAACTACCGACGCATAAGACTATGGTCTACTGGATGGTTGTTTTGCTCTACTCTGAGACTCGTCATCTGTGCGAATCTGTCATCACACATAGGATATCACTGTGTCATACTTGAAATGTACTTAATTAATGTGGAACACCATTTTAAAATTCTAACTCTTTTTTTATAATATTCGATAGGCACATTTCAGTGACCGCTACTATATATTGCGAAGCGAAAATAACCACTGTCACTAACAGGAAGTTTCCTGATCTTCAGATGAATGCCGAGTACATAACTCATAACTCTCAAGAACGTGTCTAGTGAAGTATGACTTTTGTGTAAAGAAATACTTATGCAGGGAATTGAGTGCCTGAAATAAGGCAATTTGTATTACAACAGCAAAAGGATCATGTGTCTATGAAGGCACATATCTACGATAAAAAATGTGCGTCGGTGGCACAATAGTTATTTATTATTTTTTTATTTTCATTTTTGATTATAGCTTGATTCCATACCGTACCTTTGGTACATGTATGGAATTTTCAGCATGCATACCAGTAGCCCAAATTTTTTAGGCCGACCATAGATATCAGGTGCGCGTCAGCAGGGGATCGAACCTCAGACCATGTGAATGGTCAACGAGAGTCCTAATCAATGTACCACCGACTCTCGCCGACCATCCAAATGGTCCGAGGTTGGATCCCCTGCCGACGCCCACCTGATATCTATGGTCGGCCTGCAAAATTTGGGCTACCGATATCATACACTGAAAATTCCATACTTGTACCAAAAATACAGTGTAGAATCAAGGTGTAATCAAAAAAGAATTAATAATATCGTATTCTTTTTCAGATGAGAACATCATAAAACTGAATTTTGTAACTCACTTTTTCAAGCTTTTTCTCAGCTCGATATTCAGAAGTTAAACTTAAAATTTTCTCCGCCATGAAAAAAAAGTAAACACCACCCAATGCCACTAAACCTTTCATGATGGCTGTACGTTCACTGTCCCCCTCACCAGTGGCTTCTTCTCCATGACTATGTCCCTGTCCACCACTAATGGCCTGATAGTGTAAACATAAAAAGCAAAATACAAGGAAGTTATGTAAACATCTGACCGTAAAATAATGTGATTATAATTACAGATATACCCATATATGATCGAAAAAGTTTAATAATAATAATAGGAAAAGGTTTATTGTGAACAATATTTATGTAATGTAAAGAATTTTCCGCGGAGCTTATTGCATGATGTTTTACCTTTGTCCATAATCTTGAAATAAAAGAATTATCGACAGTCGATCATGTGACACAGTTCTATTTGACCTGAAGCGAAAAGGACAACAATTATGATATCTCTTCCTTTTTTCTTCGAGAAATACCCGACATTTCACTGAAAACCAATTATGAAAGGTTCAGGTGTAGATTTTGTGGACAAAAGGCACCACTTAGGAATGGTGATCTTATGTGTCAGGATAAACTGTCAACGAGGATAATGCTCTTTCTCATGTTTATCAGAAACCTGAGAATCAGCAGGTCGAAAATGATTGAAATACTCACCAGAGAAAATAGTACTATTGTAGTAACAGCTGTCTGCAATATAAAATTGTAGACAACAATTTACGTCAATATTTACGTCCCGAATCGGGGTCAGGAGAAAAAGCAATAATAAAGCCTAACCTTGAGGAAGTCAACAACCAATCACAGCAGACTTTGAGCGGGCGTATGCGATTAGCAGATATATCACCGGACTGTCTAAGAAACGGTCACAAGCAATACAAAGTAACCTTTTGCAAGAAAACAACCAATCAGAAGACTTTGCATCTCTGTTAACAATAACGCTAATAATAATGTACATAAAAATCTATAAATATCTGTTAATTTTCTGAATAAACTATCTGTTGTCTGACCCTTGTCTTCTGTCATTACAATTCTACTACTATTAATGTTACTAACTTCTACTATTTTAAACTTATAAACAGGATGCTTAAATTCGATAAACGCTACTGGTGTGAAGATTCTCATATAGACCCCTGATGTTTCGTAATTTTGAATCAAGTTATGACAGCGAAAATCATTAGTTATTTATCGCCTGAAGTTCCCATTGTACTTTATACTTGCAAAGAATGTACTTTTCCATAATACCGACCGACTGTTTCCACCAGCATGGAAGACTGTGACTTCTATTTTTATAGGTGCAGGTTCTGAGGGATCAGAGGTGATTAGAAATTTGCACGAGCGATGATTACTCAGACGGGTTACTCACTTCCATCCCGTATTGAACGATAGTCGTGACATTATTACTAGTGCAGATCATATCATCCAGCATTAAATTTAGCAGCGTAAGCATAGCGGTTGGGACTCTCGCCGAACATGCACATGGTCCGGGTTATGATCCACTGCCGACGCACACCTGGTATCAATGGTCGGTCTGAAACATTTGGGCTACCGATATCACATGCTGAAGGTTTTATACCTGTACCAAAAATACGGCGTGGAATCAAGCCATAATTAAAAAAAAATAGCAGTCATTTTAACGTCCATTGCACATTTGTTTGAGATAGTGGGTAGAATTTACTCTAAGCATAACTACTGGTGCTTATAAAAGTCACCGTCAATTCGGTGATATCTGGGCTTAGTATTGCAGTAAACCCGAATCGCTCAATAATAAAGTTTGTGACTTCAGCACTGGCTAAGGTGGTTCGAATCTCAGAGACGAATTCGATTCCTTCAGCGGTGCAGATATGACTTACTAACCCTTGGTAAATGACTTCAACGATTTGGGATTAACTATGGTAGTCTTCAGCAAGACGTGTGTAGTGAGAAGACAGGAATACATTGGGTGGACAAGAAGATTTGAAGTTTGAGAACGATTTATCTATAATTTCACACATACTCAAAGATCTACATTGGAAACTCACAAACTGGAAAAAGATATTTCGAAACTAGAACTTCCAGTTGTGGTGAGAGTTGTGTGCAAGCCACACCAGGAATCAGGATCATGAGAAAAACAATAACAAAGCTAAACCTTGAGAAAATCACCAGCCAATCACAGAAGAGTTAAAGTGTGGAAATATGACACACAGATATATATATGGCTTGCGTTTTTGTGAAATGGCCAAAAAGAGATAACAGAATAACCCTCAACAAGGAAGCCACCAATCAGAAGAGGTTGCTTCTCCGCTAATATTAATGCATATAAAAACCTATAAATACCTCTTGATTTTCTGAATAAAGGATCTATTGCCTGGCCCTTGTCTTCCATTGTAACAATGTAAGCATAGTGAAGACAGAAGTGACGAGATCGTCCAACCGACGACAATCACCAGTCATCATCAAAGGAAGAAGCATAAAAGAAGTCAATCCTTACACTTACCCACATAGCATCGTTTCAACTACAGGCAGTACAAATGAAGACATTAGAGGTAGAATCAAAAAAGGAAGATAGACCATTGATATGAAGTCAGTGTCGAAATCTGTTGCTCTCAGTATGTTTAACACTAATGTCAAGTCAAAACAGTCTTTGTATACATTTCAGCGACTTGGGGCGCTCGTTAACAAATCATTTCCAACAAGCTGCTGCAAAGACTTTCTTTCATCAGCAGCTACCTTCACTCTATGATGAAGATCAGATCACCGACTGGAAAGTATTAACAACAAGCAACTCTTCAGTGTGACGAAACAACCTAGGACCTATCGCTCAACAAATGTGCTGAATAAAATGCAGGTGGATCATACACGTGCTGAGGATATCATTGGATGGTATTGCATACCAGACCCTAGAGTGGAACCGGAATTAGGAGCTACGAGTTGGACATGGCACCAAGGGTGAGAAGAAGATTAGAGACTTGTAGACAACAGGATGGGGAGATTCAGCTGAACCTTGGTGTTCTAATCGAAACCTAAAGGACTGGTAACAATAATAGCCCTCACAGTTCGTAAAAAGCATTTGAAAGCGAGCCGTAGTCATGTCGAAAACCCGCTTCTCTAGGATAAGGATTATCTGTACTAAACTTCATAAACTTACATGTGGTAATAAATGTAGCATAGCATCACCAGTTAGTGTGCCAACAGCCAGTGCGACTAGATATTGAATCACTTGATTGTAAAATACCTTTTGTACTAATGGTACAACGCCAACGCCTAATAATCCAACTGCACTGATCACAAGAATAGATATAAGTGAAGCGATCCATACTAAAGAAGAAGAAAAAGGAGTAAATAAAAGTCTTTGAATAAGTTAACTAGGTTATAAATTGAGTCAAAATTGTGTATTATTTTTGTTTCTGTATTAATAGTTGTCCTAGAGTGCAAAGTTCCGCATCTAAGGTTGACTAATAAATAGCCTTATTGAAATGGACTTCAACTAGATCTCTATTAGTGTCAGACTGTTAGTTAATTAGTTTCACGCATCAACCAAAAACTTGTATGGGATTGATTCAGTCACATGCTTCTTGTGATATCAATGGCACTATATTAGGAAATAAGTTAAATAATACCTATTTCGGTATTAGTTTCTCTTCCTTCCATCTGCGCTGGTCATCTCATACCTTCCATACTACTCTGTTTATTAGATGTATCACACAGTCAGTGAAACAGTATTATTATTTACTGGATGACGAAGTTTTGAACAAAATTCGTTATTGTTCATAATCATTTCAAGTATTGGTTTTGTAGGGATTTTGTTTGATTGCATGGAGGATTTCATCATGAGCTGACATCAGTTAGAGAACCACTGGAAACCCACTTGGGAGTACTGGACAGCTGTTTCGTCCAACTGGTCTGGGACCCTTCATCAGTACGCATCGGCCACAGGCGGTTTGAGCCCACGACCTTCTGGTTACAAGGGGAGCTAGCTCGTAGACCATGGAGCCACTGGGACCCAATCCAATGGTCCTTGAATTCTAACTTCTGCCAATTCACGACATAGCACGACCACTTCGCAATGTCTTCTTCGATGAGTTACTGCCTCATCTTCAACCTGCTGTACCCTACTGGTCACGGCTTCCCACTAGAGCCCCAGGTTAACTGCCTGAATAGGGCCAGTCACTAGTGAGCACAGATTAATTTTCAAGTATTGGTTTTGTAGGGATTTTGTTTGATTGCATGTAGGATTTATTCAAATCCCGGTGGGTGCGTACTGCTGCAGAGTCCCAAACTAGGACGAAACAGCTGTCCAGTAATCCTAGGTTTTCCAGTGGTCCTCTAACTGATGTCAGCTCATGATTAAATCCTCCATGCAATCATAATCATTTCATCAATTATACTCACATAACTTTGAAACTTGAGTTTCATTGTTTTCTTTTTCCTCTCCTATTTGTCATCGTAGGGGTAGTAGAATTTTCCAGATATCTGGGTGGACAGGTGTTGAATCACTCCAATTACACGTATTTGCAGTTGATTCGATAAACAAAGCATATGTTATCAACCTATCCCTGTACCCTGTGACATTAGATTTTAAAAGTGTCATCTTTACCCATCCAGACTATTGTATGGTTGTGTGTAACTGCAAGTGGTGAGTGATATAGCTGAACTATTCTCTAGATTTCTTATCTTATTTCGGTCAACTAATCCATGTTTTGCTGCTTGGCTTTAATGCTCGGGTAGTCTGACTGTACCTGTTCTACTAGTCTGACCTATGTAATTTCATACAAGCAAGGAACCTCAGAAAACTTACGGAGAATTCTTAAAAAGTCATGAAGAAAGGTAACTGAAGTTCAAACCCACAAACTCCATTAGAAACAAGCATTGTCGGTTAAAGCATCAGTCCTGTGGAGCCTTTAAAACAAAACAATTTAGTTTACCTAATACCATGCCTGAGATGATTTTCAGCTCAAATACATATGTCAAACTAGTAGAACAGGGTCAGTCAGACTAGCCGATCATAAAAACCTAGCAAAATCTAAATTGGTTTACCCGAATAAGATAAGAAATCTGGAGAAAAGTTCAGTTATGCCACTTACTATATGCAATTACACACAACCATACAATAGGATGGGTGGGATAAGATGACACTTTTAAAATCTGATGTAATAGCAGGCTGGATGGAGAGATTGATAACAAAAGCTTTGTTTATTGAATCAACTGCACACACGTATAATAGAGATGATTCAACACCTGTCCAGTAGGATATTTGGAAAGTTCTACTACCCCAACGACGACAATTAGGAGAAGACAAAGAAAACTATGAAATTCAAGTTTCAAAGTCGTGTGATTACAATTGATATGATTATGAACAGCAATAAATTTTGTTCGAAACCTTGTCACGCAGTAAATAATACCGTTTCTCTGACTGTGTGATACATTTAATAAACAAACTAATATGGAATTACTTACTGCCACAGTGCCCAAGTTTAACACATATATTAACATCTCATATCTTGTTAATTTCTAATATTGGCTTCCATTTGACTCACTATAAAATCGAGTTGAGAAAATCCGGCATAAATCAACTTTAAATATTCCCATTTTTAATATTAGAAGAAGACGTATAAGCTAGCAATACTCTTGTTTTCAATTAGATCTTCTTCAGGCTTTACTCTAACTTACATAGCTCTTTATATATAAACATTTTTAACCAATGACGGTGATTTTGTGGATCAAATAATATTAATAATAGTAATGTGGTAAATGTTTTGAATGTAGTTAACAACGATGATTATAATGATAACAAAATATTGTTAATAAGGTTTATACAGGTGGCGATAAGAATAACAAAGGTAGTAATATGTGTATATGTAGACAATTCAATAAAAAAATTTGGTCAAATCTTAAAAGTTACGTAATACTGAAGGTGAAGTGGACAAATAATCAGATTTTAAATAAATATCATAAAAATACGAAGGAGATGGAAAATAAGAAAGTATGGAAGGGTTTTGAATTGAATTCACTTAACCCAAGGGATAGATAAAGGTAGAACAAACTTCTTTTGTATGCAAACACTAGAATTGTTCTCGCGAATTAATTCCCATAGCTGCGGCTATCTGTAAAAGGAGGGTTAGAATTCCATTCGATAGGTTCGATGGAATGCGATAGATAACTTTGAAGGCACTTCTTCTTATGTCCACTCGGTGACTGCTATCAATCAAATGAGGCAAAACAGAAGTTCTTATAAATTTTATCTGACTATTTCTGACCCATGAAGGAGGATGCTCATTAATGCGTTTGTGTTAAGCTGTCTAGTTGTTCGCCCTAAATAGCTCTATCCACGGGAGAAACTAAGTTTGTAGATACACATATAAGTGGCACAGCTGCGCAGCTTGTCTTTCGCTTGAACAATCATAATTGGTCGACAGCTGAAAAATGACAAAGAAAGGGTGGTGGTTGCGGCATAAGTCCGTTTTACTGCTGTCGACAATCTCAGATGTATGACTTCGCTAGCCGCATCCCCATTAAATTGCAATTTCATGAACAATTGTTTCTTTTTAACTGTTGTCAGTTTCTCTTTATTGTACCTGGTGTTCATGTTCATGTTCAAAACATTTACGACATTATTATTATTATTTGGTCCACAAAATCATCATCCTTGTTTAAAAATGTTTATATATAAAGAACTTTGTGAATTAGACTAAAGCCTAAAAAGATCTAATTGAAAACGACAATATTGTTCCCTTATATGTCTAGTTCTAATAAATCAACTTCTCCTACAAATTATTAATTCACATATTCCATCTATCCTCTTTTTTATTGTTCCTCTTTGTTCTTCATTAGGCTTCTCAAAAAGACTATGTTATACTATGTAGGACTTTGAAGGTTAATTGTGTATCATTGACTCAACCAGATGACAATGTTGTGGATAGACGTCTTGAATTTTACAAACAGTTGTCCAAAGAGTATGTGTTAAATTTGGGCACTGTGGTAGTAAGTAATTCCATATTAGTTTGTTTATTAAATGTATCACACAGTCAGAGAAACGGTATTATTTACTGCGTGACAAGGTTTCGAACAAAATTTATTGCTGTTCATAATCATATCAATTGTAATCACACGACTTTGAAACTTGAATTTCATAGTTTTCTTTGTCTTCTCCTAATTGTCGTCGTTGGGGTAGTAGAACTTTCCAAATATCCTACTGGACAGGTGTTGAATCATCTCTATTATACGTGTGTGCAGTTGATTCAATAAACAAAGCTTTTGTTATCAATCTCTCCATCCAGCCTGCTATTACATCAGATTTTAAAAGTGTCATCTTATCCCACCCATCCTATTGTATGGTTGTGTGTAACTGCATATAGTAAGTGGCATAACTGAACTATTCTCTAGATTTCTTATCTTATCCGCGTCAACTAATCCAGATTTTGCTTGGTTTTTATACTCGGCTAATCTGACCGCCGTTCTACTACTTTGAAGTATGTATTTGAACTGTTCAAAGCCATCTTGTCGAATACTGAACATCCTCATTATTCTCAACTTTGTTCTTCTAACATGAAGGCTGTGGAAGTTAATTTGTAGCCGTTTAACTTGTTTTCAGTTTCAGGACCGTTAGATGACCGTTGATAACCAGAGAGTACTGCAGAGATGTTTCATCGTAGTCTGCGATTCATTTGCAGTATGCACCTGCCTGGATTCGAATCCAGTACTTTCCAAAGATGTGTGAAGCTGGCAGACCATTCATCCACTGGGACTCGATTTGGGCCGAATCCTGACAACATCAAGACCAACAGCCAATAATATCATAGGTGAGTATTCATCCACCCGTCTGGTCACGATTTCACACTTCTCTAAATGATATCAACCTGTGATCCAACTCTAAGCAAACTAAATCCCTATGAACTAACTCATGGAAACAAAATATTTCACGTGGTTTTTCTTTGCATGCATTCATTCCTGATGTAAATATGTATATACATTTGAAATCATATTTTTTTTTTGTAAACTGCTAATTGATGGACAACATGTTGCAAACATTGAGTATATAGTGTTAAATAGTTTTTAAAAATCTGTAATGTAAACAATTCAATCAAGGTCAGTTATATGCAAAAAATTATATTTTTGATAGATCTCAGTAAATTTGAAAATAATGTTAGATTTTCATTAAGAAACGATGTCGGTTAGTCAGGCAGGGTTCACTGAAATCTAAGGGGTCCATTATTCAGACTCTTCAGCACTATAGACTCATAAACACACCAGGGATCGAACTGGAGACTTTATGTTTACGAGGCCATGTGGGCTGGAATTCAGTATCGTGTGGATTCTAACATTGTTGACTCGTGATGTAACACTGTACACATTACTGCCTTCAATGAGAATCCAATTCATATTAACATGATGTGCCCTACTGGTCAAGACTTCCAACTACAACTGAAGGATATCAATCCAGTACCATCAGTGAGCTGGAGAGATTATAAACTAATTTCTGGTGTTAGATTTTCATCATTAACCAAAATGGGTTAAAGAGATCACTGAAAACCAGGGAAGGCTAGTAAGCTGTTTCTTCCTAGTGTGAGACTCCCCAGGAGTGCACGCCCATAACACTATCAGGGATTTGACTTGAGACGAGACCAAGCACTCTGACCATTCATCCACTTGAGCTGATATCCAACGGTACATGAATTCTGACGTATGAAAATTCGCAATTTTAGTGAGATTATCAAGTGAATACCTATGACTCAGATATAACTGGACAAAAATGTTAGACAAGATGCTTCCGTATACATGTATATATATCTAATAAGAATTGTCATCATTTGCCTAAAGGGGTTCATATCGATTCAGTGAACGAAATTTCGGGATTATTTTTTACAATTTCCCTGAGATTTATACAAATATACCTCGTATAGAAGTCTAGTTTTCACTCAGCGCCCATTTCTTTTGTATAACCAGTTCGTCAAATGTTGATCACAGTTTGTACAGAGATCAGTTACAGTATAAATCGCTCACACAATATCATATTTTCAATATAAGTATAAAATGTGGGCACTGTGGTACAGTATAATTCCATTATAGATAAGATTTTGTTTTGATACGTCACACAGTGTTACACAGTAATGACCAAGTTTCGAGCACAAACTATTGCCACTCATAATCATATCAAGTCACTCGCTCACACAACTTTTTCCTTCATTTGTATACATGTGTGGAATTGCCCAGATATTTGAATAAAAATCAATGTGTGATAATGTGCATTCAGAAATAACAATTACAATCAGATGGGAAATAAGACGAGTGTTTTTTATCGTTATAATAAGTAACTTGTTAGAATGTTGTGATATCTTTGAATTGAAATAGAATTTTGAGATTATTTATTATCCTCCTCTGATTTGACTGACTGTTGGCAATAATATCTTTCATGCATATCTCTGGTATTTGCGTTGAGTCATTTCTGTTGAATGTGTTCCATTGGGTGTAGACTAGATGAACCAGGCAGGATTCAGTAATCAGTCTCTCTCACCACCTACCTAGATTACTTCTTAGAATTCTAACCCTCTCCCATCATGCTATTGTGTGGTTGTGTGTCAATGTATGCAAAACAATTGATGAGTTTTTTTCTAAATTACTCATCTTCTCGGGGTCAACCATTCTTGCCTTAGCTAAATTCTTATGTTCCGACAATCTGTTTATCTCCGACCTACTAGTTTGGCCTATGTAGTTGACCTAACAGTCATTGCAGGGTATTTTCTAAATTATATTATTTTGTTTAATTGGGTCCACCGGGTCTTTTTCTTTTTTCAATAGTCAGAAAGTAAGGGATTCACTGAGCATATTTATATATATACATTATGTGAACAGCATCAATGTAACTGTTCACCACACCTTAACTGACATGATATCATACTATACAAATAAAGAATCGATAAAGAAAAGCAAACAGGTTAAAAGTTACCAGTCAACTAACCTTTTGGTCGTATATTCCAGAGTCCATATAAGCTCAATACCTATAAGTATATACAAAAGAAGACAGATCGGTAAGAATACGGAGTATTTCGCCGGCGATAAATGATCTGACACTAGCATTATCCCTTCGTAAAACTGACTACTGTGACAGTGTAGCACTCAGGCTAGGCGTACAATCCCTAACAGTTGCTTCCTATCATTTAGTATCGTTTAACTTGCATTGGCATACCGAGTTGATTGTCTTAGTAGCGAGGGCAGATATAGACGAGAATGATTGTATACGACAGTATTTTAGAACAAACAAAAACAGTCTAGGTTTGCACTTTATACACCATTACAAAACATCGACCGGGAGTGGAATAAATCAGTGGTCAAGCACCTTTAGTTGTAGTGGCATTTGGCATGGAACTACACAAGTTGAAGCCACCCCGATTCGAAAAGAAGGAATGAGTGAATTAGGTCAAAATCAGTGAGATTTTCAGGATCCGAAAAATGCCAGTAAGGTGTGATATGGATTTAGATCTAAAAAAGTTAACTATTCTCTTTCGTTCACGATTTTTCAAGGACACTTCTTAAAATATTTAGAAATCATTGTATCATATTCGTTCGTTTCACTTTCAAGCTTCATGCTACAAAAAGCCAACAAAAAATCTACTTATGGATGTCCTATCATCTTTGGAATTTAGTTTTTCATTCATTTTGGTCATGGGATTTGTGGGAGATTTAGATCAACTTCGTTTCAAACCAACGTCAATTAGAGCGATAATTGAAAACCAAGAGGCACTAAAAAGCCGTTTCTACGTAATATGACACTCTTCAGAAGTGCGCGATCACTGTCCTGCCTGGAGTCGAACCCAGGACCTTTCTGGTTACTAGTTCAAGCTTGCTGAAAATTCGGCTACTTAGATCGAAATTCAGTGACCTAAGAAAACTAACCTAGTTAATTCGTGATATAATAATACTACTGCTACTGCGTGTTGCTAAAACCATTTCCAAAAAGCTGCTGTGGACATTCGTTAATGACTGACTGCCTTCCCTCTTCACTGAAGGTCAGATGGCTGGCTAGAAAGAATAACTAACCAAACATTCTGTCAACAAACCAACCCAGAACTTATTTAGTACCAAATATGCCAAAGAAAATTGAAATCGATAGGATACATCCTAGAAAGACAGTCGGGTGATATCACACGCCAAGCCAGCCCCTGGTTGGAACTAGAATAGGCATCCAGATGTCCAGTAGAGGGTTCGTGTGGGGAGGAAATGCAAGCATATAGGTGGTCCTGTAGTTAAATATAAAATGCAGAGTGGAATACTGGAGTTCTATATTGCAACCAGAATCTAATGGATATATTAATGGTGGTAATATAATAATGCGACAGATGTAATCTTCGAGACACATATCCACAGTTCTTTAGAAGTCAAAATAAACAAATGGCATTTAGCAAAGAATGGCCAATTCTGTTTCCAATATGACAATCAAATATTGTTTTGTCGAGATTTGATTGATTAGTTACAGGATTTTATCATGAGCTGACGTCAGTTAGAGAACCATTGGAAGTCCTGCAGGAAGTACCATCAGGCAGCTGTCTCCTCCATCCTAGTTTCGGGTTCTTCATCAGTACGCAACCACCACAGAAGGTTCGAAACCAGGACCTTCTGGTTACAAGGCGAGCCAGCTCGTAGACCACCAAGTTACCGGGACTCAAGCCAATGGCCAGTCCATGAATTCCAACTTCTGCCAATTTACATCATAGTTCGGTCATGAGCCAATGTCTTTGGTGAGTATTTTAACTCACACCCGACCTACTGCACCCTGCTGGTCACGACTTCCCATTAGAAACCCGGGTAACTACCTACCTGAATAGCGCCAGTCGCTAGTGAGCATCACATTGATATTCAAATATTGGTTTACAGGGTGCAGCAGGTCGAGTGTGAGTTAAAATACTCGCCGAAGACATTGGCTTGTGGCCGCGCCATGTCGTGAATTTGCACAAGTTGAAACTCATGGACTGGCCATCGGATCCAGTCCCAGTGGCTTAATGGTCTACGAGTTAGCTCGCCTTGTAGCGAAGATTGCGTACTGCTGAAGAATCCAAAACTAGGACGGAGGAGACAGCCGCCTGATGAAACTCTCCGCAGGTTTTCCAATGGTTCTCTAGCCGATTTCAGCTCATGATGAAATCCTGTAATCCGCAATGATAAGTTTGACGGAAAAGTGCGGAGATATATTCAACTCCTTCATAGGATTAATGAAGGTTCAAAAAAGGCACTGAGCAGACATCGTTTCGATATCAAATATTTGAAAATAGTTTACTGCCATTACTTTGATAAGCTACTCGAAATCTCTCAGAGATCCAAAGCTGCATGAATGTTGCACCAAACTCACAGAGACTTATATTCATTCGTTCCAACTGTGATTGATACGATGTTGGAATTGCTTAAGAGTAATAATTGACTTAACAAAGCAATTAGTCAAATTTTTAAAAAATAAAGTTGTTGTAAAATAGAATGCTGGTTAGCATGAAATATTATCTTAAAGGCGATTCCCGAGGGTCCCATAATTATATCATCTAACATCCCACAAGTAAAATCATTAAGAAGTAGCTAAATACGTAGTATTCGTAATCAAAGGTGACCTCTAGAAATTTCTATAAACCAACTAATACCCATTGCAGAAGAGGTGAATTTAGTAGCCTAGTCGTTAAGGAGGATAATTCTTTGATGCTTGAAATGAAACGCCTGTATTTGATTACCAGTCTTAGGTAGGACTAAATGAGCATCCTGGATTCTGGAACTAGGTGCCGTCAAATACGTCAAAAGTCAAACGACCTCGGTAGGCATTTTTCCCTTATAATAAAATCTATTTCGTAGAGAATTTACTCCCATTATTTGTCTACTAGTCAGAACATAAAAAACCCACTCTCCATCTCGCCGATAAGAAAGACATCTAATATTCACCTACCCCATAGGGAGGGGGTGATCTTAGCACCTTGGTTATCCGACAGAGATTGAACTCTGCGGTTAAAACGGCTTTTTATGAAGCTAACATAATAATAATTGAGAGTATGAAGCCGATATATTCATCTAAGCACTTTGAACATGATAAAAAATCATGCCAGATCTCACTGTATTTGTCAATCTGAATGTAAATTTGGACACACATACATAGGGAGGACTCATCGGTGTCTGCAAGTAAGGGCTGGCTTCAGGAGCAAATACAATTTCCCAAACTCATTAGTGGTGAGAAGAAACAAACTGACTCCTCTCTTGAGAAATACATAACAGAGGTAGGACATAAAATTGATGTATACACGTCTTTTAAATCTATCTGTAGAACGTGTATGGGGCACATCCTAAAGTTTATTGAAGCCTTAGCAATTGGAAATTTTAGACCAGCTTTATGCGTTTAAAAGCAATTCATCATCCCACTAAACCCTCCAGTGTAAACTTTGCTTTGATACCAGTCGGGGTAGAAGTACTATTACCTCTCTTATTTGGTTTAGCGATCATTGTTATTTTGACTTTCAATGTGTCCCTTTAACTTGACCTAACTTGCCTATTTTCTCACCCCTTAACTCTCTTTTCTTATGATAAAGCTCATGTGTTATAAGATTTGATAGTGTGAAATATTCCCATATTATGAATTAAAAGTCAATCTGAACGAAGAATATTCTTTTCAATAATTTCTCCTCTTCAGGTTCTTACAATTATAAAATACAATAAAGGCCAGTTATTCGGCGGATATATTTTTAACGTAGAATAACAGATTAGTTATGGGGTGTCAAAATACTTTGCTTATTATTATAAATATTATTATTACAGTTATTATCATTATTCGTCATAATTTATGCCCTTTATGCAAACATTCCCTCAATACTATCGAATTTTCATTTATACGGACTTATTATTAGTGATATTATCTCTTTTCACAATATATGCCTCCACCTATTTCATTTAACATATTCGAAATCTCACCATGAACCTCTCATTCCAGTCTTACTATCTCCTGTTTAACTCAGACCACTTTGTACTAGCCACACCACTCACTCACCTGACACCTTTTATAACCTTGATCTGATTTGTCAATTTTCCTAACCCACACTCTACAATTCTATTATGATTAATCACCACAATTTTCTCCCGTTTTACAATATTTCTAATCGATATCAGCCTAGCACGTTTGTCACACTCAAATACGACTATTTATTTTGACCCCATAACTAAACTGTTATTCTACGTTAAAAATGTATTCGCCGAACGACTGGCCTTTATTGTAACGACCACAAATATTATATTTTATAATTGTAAGAACCTGAAGAGGAGAAATTATTGAAAAGAATATTCTTCGTTCAGATTGACTTTTAAGTTCATGTGTGATTAAATTGTTCGAAATGTGTCACGCAAATAAATTACACGATTCAGACAAATTACGTCTTCTTATTGCTTATCTAGATTCATAAAGGGAACTAATTATTTAAAAACTCTTATTGTCAGGTTGCATGAAATGAGGCTAGTAAAAACAGACTAAAAGAGAGCTGTTAAAATTTCACAATCGACTAGAAAGTAAGGCCTGCTTTGATCATATACCGATGCTACGCATCTCACCACACTTTTTTTTCCTTCACGTTCCCCAGTGGAACATAGGGCCACTTCAAGCTAGTGACTTGAATTTTCTGTAGCAGTGGTGTTTATTTTTACAGGATAGGGTTGCTAGCCTCATGCCTAGCCCAACCTTCCCTCTTGACCAGGATTATTTCTGGCTTAGCGAGGTAAAGGAATGCTTCCGTGGCCGGGGATCGAACCCCTGACCATGTGAGGCATGGTCGGCGAGAGTCCTAACCGCTATACCACCGACGCACTCTCACCACACTGCTATTACATAATTTTAAGGTAACAATAATTCATTAATAAAATGGATAAGGAAATGACATAAACTCACTTCATGTCCATGTCCCATTGAATTATTCTTCGACTCAGCTACCACCCTATAAAGTTCCAAACACATCAAGTGAAAATTCGCTTCAGTCTTGTTATTAAGATATCCTTTAATGTTATCATAAACATGTGATGTTGGTAATGTGGAATATGTCTGAAATGGACAAGGGAAATGCAAATTAGAAGGATTCAATCAATAATAATAATAACAAGCGGTTAATGTCCAATATACGGTTGAATCATTGAACAGAAAAAAAAATAAATCGCAAGCAAACTGCTTGAATAATTGAACAATACTTACTTGAAAATTCTGCCATTTTTTGAATGATGACATTAGGGTTCCTCGACGAATCTGTCGAATTGGAGGGTGTCGTTTAAATTTTATTCATTTCACACTCTACGAATAGAGAGCATAGGGCGTTTTTAACTTTTGAAGGTTTAATAGAGGTGATGTTATCTTTGGGGTTGCCAGTCTTATATAAAAGTTTGCCACTATTCTGATCTTATTAGCACTGGATTTCAACTGCCTCATCCAAACTGATATATGCTAGAAGACTTATTCCGGCGAGCTCCGAATTCAATGAGGAGCGAAAGCTGCACAAAAGGAAACTTACGAAAAGTCTCCGCAAGGACCGTGAACAGTGGTGGCTGACAAAGGCAAAAGAGATGGAAAAAGCATCGGCGATAGGCAACACTAGGCAACTCTTTAGACTCATCAGGGAAACGGGTGGGAGAAGGCAAATCATAAGTGAGACTATTTCTGAGAAAAATGGCTCCTTAATTAGCTCTCAGGATAGACGCCTTGAACGCTGGAAAGAACACTTTGAGGGACAATTTAACTTGCCTACAGCCACACTGAACCTCCCCGACATCCACACACACCCGAATGGGATATAGACACTGGTCCGCCGTCTGTAAGTGAGGTCACAAAAGCTATCAGTAATTTGAAACGAGGCAAAGCGGCAGGACCCGACGGAATTATTCCGGAGGTGTTTAAATATGGGGGTGACATACTAGTTTGTAGATTAACTGAGGTACTAGGCAAAGTCTGGGAATCAGAGACAGTGCCATCAGACTGGGGTAAGTCACTTATTATACCGATATTCAAGAAGGGAAACAAGTCCTCGTGTGATAATCATAGGGGGATCAGCCTAACGAACATAGTCTCTAAAATCCTAGGCTCAGTAATCATGCATAGACTAAGCAGAACTCGGGAGGAACAGACAAGGGAAAATCAAGCAGGCTTTAGACCAGGTAGAGGGTGCATAGATCATATCTTCACTCTTCGACAGATTCTAGAACATAGACACACTTTTCGGCGTCCAACAATTGTCATATTTCTTGACTTGAAGGCGGCCTTCGACTCCGTGGATCGAAAGGTACTATGGCAATGTCTGACTGTGAAGGGAGTGCCAAGAAAGTACATTGCACTAATCAAGGCACTCTATTCAAACTCACGTAGTCGTGTAAGGGCTTATGGGGAATTGTCATCTGAATTGGTAACAACCAGTGGTGTCCGACAGGGATGTCCACTTTCCCCATTTCTGTTTAACTTCATCATAGATATGCTGATGGAAGTATCCTTAACTGAACGTAATGACTTAGGAATCGACTTGTTACCAGGGAATAGTCTTATGGACTTAGAATATGCAGATGACATAGTCCTGTTAGGGGAGGATGCTGACAAAATGCAGAGTCTTCTGAACACCTTGAGCAGCAATCTTCGTATGTTTGGCATGCGATTCGCCCCTAAAAAATGTAAGATGCTGCTACAGGACTGGACCACGTCAACTCCTAACTTAGTGATAGGGAGTGAAGTGATAGAACATGTTGACCACTTCACCTATTTGGGAAGTTGTATTAGCACCAACGGACTGATTGGCGATGAAATCTCAGCACGGATCCGAAAAGCTCGAGCTGCTTTCGCTGACTTACACCATCTCTGGCGTAGGCGTGACATCCGGTTATCAACCAAGGGACGTGTGTACTGCTCATCAGTTCGCTCCGTCCTTCTCTATGGCTCTGAAACATGGCCAATACGCGTTGAAGACATGAAAAGGTTGACTGCTTTCGATCATAGATGTCTGCGATCTCTGTCTCACGTTAGGTGGTTTAATAAGGTAAGTAATGTTGACGTTAGGCGTAGAGTGTTGGGCAAAGAGGGAAAATCAATCGACGAGGCTATAAAGTTACATAGACTAAGATGGCTAGGTCACGTGCCGCGCATGCCTAACCACCGCCTCCCCCGACGGGCATTGCTAGCTGATATAGGTGCAGGTTGGAAAAGAGCCAGTGGTGGCCAAACAAAAACATGGCATCAATCCATGAAATCCTTGACAGTTAAACTGAGTCAGGTAGGGAGATGCAGACTTCCGGGTTGGGGCCCTCGGGACTCTAGGAATCAATGGCTGGAGACAATAGGTGACATGGCTCAAAATCGTTGTCAATGGCCAGCGCAGATGTATTCAGTCTCTGTAATCTTTCATATTCCTTTCTACCATTACCCATTCTGTTTCACTCTTATACTTGTCAAACTCTATTGATTCTCTTCACTCATCTTCTTGTCTACCTTTGTGTGCTATTTGGAACGTGGCAACTCGAACTGCAGCACTTCGGTGCCAAGTTCTATGTTGAATCCAGACAGACAGACAGATCTTATTAGCGGCTGGTGAACTAGGTGTGTTTTCGGAGTATGTCTACTGGAAATCGAACCCAAATAGGTACCGAGCATTGAACCACTGAACTACAGACACTAATATTACTTAAATGGGGAAGATAAAAAGATGAAGTCATCTAAAGTGTGGAGATAAATTAAATCACACGGCATGTTACATAGCAGCATCTGTACAGCTTCAATTTAGATATGAACAAGAGTTCGAATAAAATTTACTAAATGAAAGAAACGAGATCCGAATTCTTAATACTATCTTCAAGTCAACGCTTTTTCTACTCCTCCTCCTCAGTGGAACATAGGGCTTCTGGATAGAGATTTGAAGTTTCGATGGCAATGGTATTTAATTTTACGGGGTGGAGTTACTAGCCTCATGACCAATCTTACCTCTTTACCGGTGTAATTACCGACTTAGCGAGGTTGAAGAGTGCATCGGTCAGACATCGAAACCCCACATCACATGCGTGCTCGTGCATGGTTCAAAAAACTGGCGCACCGGGCACTAAAAGCATTTCCAACGGGCTACTGCAACAAACTTAAATCAGTACCTCCCCTGTCTGTATCTTTACAGTAGTTCAGGTAACGTTCGCGCTGGAGGGATAAAGGGTAAGTTAATCTGGAGGAGGAGAGGAACGTACCACAGAATCAACTTTTATCCACAAAAGTATGCAAGAGAGAGTGGAGGTGAGTTGGGCATACACTAAAGAAGTATTTGAGTAGCAGTCTATGAGTAGAGGTCGAAAGGAGACGAGTGACAGGTTGAACTTCTGAAATTTCCATGGTGGGGAACAGGTGAAAGGAGATGAAAGCTCATGGAGAGTTCTTGGACTACCTAGAATGGATGTTAGAGAACAAATTTCAATTGAGATGTAGTACTGAGACCTCATGTTTCAGGCAGAAAGCAAAGAATCATAATTGGGATAATCTTGCGGATATATTCCTTCTTATTATGTACAGAAAACTTTCCTGCCAGCTCGGAACGCATTTTCAACAAATTAACAAATGCATGACGTTTATGGTAGACAGACAACAGCTATGATCACCCTAACCATACTAGTTTCTACGATTTTATATCAAGCAGTATATTTAAAGAAGGTAAAACCCGACTTAAGAGTACATGGATATCTAAGATGGTTATGATCATGATCATCTTATGGAAGGTTTTATGATATAAATGAAAAAGAAACAGTTGCAAAACATTAGGTAGCTGGATTTTTTACAGTATTTTTGACACAATTTAGTAGTAGAACCACTGACATAGAGAAAACTACTCATTAGACTGGATTCAGATGTCTTGTGACTATCACTGTAATTCATGAATACTGCTCATACGGACATTAATGAAATTAAAAATATAAGTAGTTCAGAAAAGAGGCTGTTTTTGGTGAATTCGTTTCCCTTTTGATTTATACAATTTGAGTTATATGTACTTTTCAAAAGAATGGATACTGAATAAAGAGTACTCTTTTCGATAACCCCTTCATCATCAGGCTCTACAGTTATACAGATACATTATAGTGAATGAATGAATGAATTAGTGTTATGAACAACATTAATATTGCTGTTTAAATAACATCGAATCAATGATATTGATAGATTACAGCTCAATAGCATCAACATGAAATAAACTAAATGCCAGAAAAATTAGAAAAGGTAATATTACAAATTCATGAATTTATATTCCCCACTTAAAGAAGGCCAGGGGAGTTGTAGGGGCTGGACTTGCTTCTTTTGAACACAGAGCAGTGGTTGTTTGAGATGAAATGCAATAACCCTTGGTGTTTGAAGCATGCGGTGCTTCGATGATTTTGGCAATTTATTAGGCACCCGGTAGATGATAGAGAAGAGGATTCTTCAATGTTGGCTGGCTTTGTGTTCGCTTTGCACCAGATGGTCCAATATTAAGCTGTTAATGATTTTCACTACACCTTTACTTAGCCATAGTGGGAGATCTTCTAGAGCGATCATGAAAAATCAAGTTCCTAGAGCAACGGTCGATATAACTCACTCTACCACAGGAGAGCAGTTGAGTTGGTAGACATAATTTGAAGTGGCTAGTCTAGGTACTTCATTTTTAAGAGGGAGGGGTAGTATAAAAAGTTATGATTTGTCGTAATCATAGCCACTCCAAAAGAAGAGTTGAATAGGCGTATTACAGTTACGTAATAAGATGAATAATTCAATATTTTTTTAACAAAGAAAGAACAAACATACTTCCAGGTAGGATAAAACGAGCTGTTTTTATTTCATAGAACCTCTTCAACTGACTACATACTAAATAAATCAGTTATATATTACAAAATGTTTTCTTAACATTCTTTTATCAAAAAGTCGGTTGCAGCGAAACTGAATTTTCTTTTCGACAAAGTCATCAACTAGGCTGTATGTACATTCGTGTATTTCTGATAAATGGGTAGGAAATTTCCAGAATAATTTCCAGTCAAGGGTCAAAATTAACAAAATTACAATTAGGAATTAAAATG